AGCCTTGTAATTTTGAGCTTAATCTAGAAAACAGGGGAGTGACTGGATCAAGCACTGGTACTAACTTGCCTTCGGGGAGGACTTTTGATGGAACTAACCCACATTTGCGTTATGTGAAGAGGAAAACACAAAGACTTTCCACGGTTCTCAGAATGGCAAAAGGATTATAACCCATGATCTGTCTATCACTGAGAATATTTTTCGTCAGCACTGTGGTCAGTCTGTGTAAAAGTAAAATTATTGAAATTATTATTTATTATTATTATCATTATTATTATTTATCAGCCTACCAGGTGACGAGAGGTATTAAACGTCCATGATTTTGAAAGACATAGAATGGATAATGNGAGGTATATATCTATATAAGTCAAATAATTTTATTTTATAACTAGCGTAGAACAGCTGACCCAATTCTCAGTTTACAACTATCAACGTTCAACTCCGCAGCCTTGTAATTTTGAGCTTAATCTGGAAAACAGGGGAGTGACTGGATCAAGCACTGGTACTAACTTGCCTTCGGGGAGGACTTTTGATGGAACTAACCCACATTTGCGTTATGTGAAGAGGAAAACACAAAGACTTTCCACGGTTCTCAGAATGGCAAAAGGATTATAACCCATGATCTGTCTATCACTGAGAATATTTTTCGTCAGCACTGTGGTCAGTCTGTGTAAAAGTAAAATTATTGAAATTATTATTTATTATTATTATCATTATTATTATTTATCAGCCTACCAGGTGACGAGAGGTATTAAACGTCCATGATTTTGAAAGACATAGAATGGATAATGTTGTAGAAATGTGCATGTTTCAGATTTTGCATAAAATTTTAAGATAACCGATTTTATTTACCAATTACTTTTAAACTTATAAAATTCTAAGTACGCAAATAAATAATTTTATAAAAAAATAATTTTTTAATTCTGTCTTTTTTCTAAAGCAAAATATTTAAATTATATTAGTTCCGAAAAAAATCGATGACAAATTAATTACTAAGTTTGAAAATTATAGGCTTTATAATTTGCTGTATATCTGTTATAAAATTTCTTTGGAAAAAGTAATAAATATTTAAAAAATCGCCGAAAAACCTGTTTGGCCAAAAAACATATTTCAAGAATCCTCTAAATCACCTAAAATTAATTATTGCTCGACGAGCCGCAACATCAAGCTGTAATACATACAGCAAGACTATTTGGGATTTTCGTAACCGAAATTATCAATCTTCAAAAATTAATTAGTTTGTAACTAGGACAAAAATGACTCTAGACTCTATGTTCCAATAACAAATTATACATCTGGAGCTACGGAATTAGAGATTGATCGTTCTCTGGTTCAGGTCAAAATTACGATCTGTGGATGAATAATTAGATGTATGAGTAGGTCCACCCTATAAACGGGTGTGATCTATGGGGGTGACAGAAATCTAGTTCTTGGACAGAGATAGCTCCATTTCAAAAGAAGAAAAATCACTCTCCTTGCCGTAATTGCCTATGACGACAACAACAATAGATAATATTGTTGCAATATGTAGGGTGTTTCAAAACTACTGTTAAAAAATCTGCTTGTTTTTTATTACTTTTACAGCTCAATCGAGGAACCGTCGATATAAAACGTGTAATAATACTACCACTCGGGATACCTCTTAAAAAATTTTATAAATAAAAACAAAAATTGGGGGGGGACAATAAAGCTTTATTTTTATGACATATTTCACATTTTTATTCATTTATTTATTTTTGTGTGTTTGTATCTATTTTCGTGAACATGTATCATTTTATCTGCCATCAAACAAGATATTACTTGCTGTAAATAAATCCAGATGAAATTACGGTACTAAGTATTACGGTACAACTTTAAGATAAAAAGTACTGGCACCCTGATTGCCGGTAATTTTTAACTGTAGTTAATCCGGAATTTTTACGATAAACTTATAACGTGTGATTTATGTTCCATGTTGTAAAATAAAAAAATGTCTTGAGTTTTTAATAACATTCCAAATGTTATTAAAAAACTTAATGCACATATTTTTGCATGTCTCAGCAATAAGATATTTATATTTTGTTTCCTTTAATACATTGTTCTGAATCAAATCTTGTATTTATAATTTGTACTTTTCATTTGATTATATTTATTTCTATTTTTACTATATTCAAATCCTTTTAACTTCTTCCTTTAAACGATTCGGATAGTTAAGTCATAGTAAACTAGTAAGTCCTATCACCAAATTTTCTATTATTACTTGTTTTTCACGTGTATTTCATTCTCTATAAGTATGTCATTTGAAGTTTGTATTTATACTGTATATGTAGCTTTATATGCTTGGAAGCTTGATGAATACAGGAAGGAAATGCATGAAAATCTGTGTTTATAAATAATCATTTATCACATGTTTTCTCAAAAAATAATTTTAAAACAGTTACCTCGAGTATCAGAAATTTTAATAAAAAAGATAACAGAAGATAAAAGAAGTATTTTCTGAACATTTGAAAGTAGACCCGAACTAAATATTTGCGGTTATTAAGGAAATCCTCTTTTTTTTTCAAAGAAATTAAAGTCAGAAAAATAAAGTTCGCTTTTAATTTTTTGCAGGATATAAAACCTTTAAAATATAATTGCAGGCTACAAAAATGTAATTGATTGATTCCACACTAAAACAAATTTGAAAAAAATGCTTTTAATCTTATTTGAAATTCTAAAACTGATGTCTACAACTACAAAAAAGGATAAAAATAGAAGAAATTTTCTTTTTTATCGCTTTAATGTTACTTTATTTAATAGTAATTTAAAGTTATATTAAAGTATTAAATTCTTTACACTGAATTAACATAATCTTGTAATTGTTTGTTAAATAATATTAACAAACGATTTTAATTATTAATATCGAAATAATACCTGTTAATGTTTATGAGAAATTATGATATAAAGCTAAAGACAAGCAATATATATTAAACTGCTTCAGTATTAAACAAAAATAAAAGAATGTTTTATCTAGAAAAAAGATTTCAACATTTATATATTTATGCTTCTATTTCTAAAAAGTAATACCAAAAATGTACTACAACTAATGTTTTATATGTTGCAGACAAATTGGTAAATTAAAGCAGTGTTATATTAAACTATATAAGGAGAATTTCAACAAATGGACAGGTCATTATTCTCTTCAAAATAGTCAGACTATAGTTTATCTAATATACAATTTCCAATAAATCGTTTTCAAAGAATTAAGCAAAAATATCTTTTAAAGAAAAGTAACATTATTTTGTGAACTCGAGATAACTTTTGTGCAATAATCAAATGCTTTCGTGATAAAAACCATTATCTCTTTTATCATGAAATAAATTATTCTGTCTAATTTATTGTGATTTACTCGAACTAAATATAGAAAATCATATAGCAAGAAAATCCAGACTGAGAACTAGACAAATTTATGAATTCAAAGATTATATCTTTCATAAGTCTTTTCACAAAGTTCTTTCAAAAACTAGTCCTTTGTTAAGGAATTTAAAAAAATCTTATGGTGGACTGAAAATCAATTGTATCAATAATTATAAACCATTTTTTAGGGAAGAATTCCTGATAATTATGATGAGTGGTGAAATATAACATTATATAAAAAATAAATATGCAAAATGCTATTATTTCATAAATAGATTAAACTCATTAAAAATGAATTTTTTTGCCTGACCTCTGGAAATAATTAAACAGAATTGACATAAAATTATCTTATGAAATATACTATAAATATATATATATATAATATCAGAAAGCACTCTTTTTAGCTGATATAATCGTGTGGGCTGATGAAAAGATTATATCTTTTATTTTCCGGATTTTTTAGAAGCATTTTATCCCTTTTTTTTCTTCCATTTGTTTGTTATTTTTTTTATTATTATTTTTCTTCCCCCCCTTTTTTTTCCATGTGTCTGTAATTTTCTTTTGTTTTATCTTCATTTTGAACTCATCCAATGAGTTCTGGTTACTTGCAGCTTATGCGCAATAAATGAAACTTATTGTTTTTCGTAATTTTCTTCGTGTTTTCTTTTGTATTTACTTATCTTGTTGTATATATATATATANATATATATATATATAAAGTGATTCTAGATATAAAACGAAAAGTTGCCAGCAGAAAATGGAAGGACAATAGTGACAACTAGAAAGACCACAGTAACAGAGAGAGAGAAAAAAAGATGAAAAGAGATTGTGAAAACGACAGCAGATGAGAGGGAAAAATCAGAGTTATGCTAGCATTATTTACCTGGTGTAACTTGGAGGTGTTTTTAAATACCGCTTTTCAACTCTTTTTCTGTTTTCTCCTTGCAATCAAACAAGTTTGGGAGATTTCATTCACACTCTCCCCTCAGTAGTGACTCATTACATTTAGATAGACTTCATGCTTTTATTGTAATTCGATACCTCATTAACTTCGATTCGAAATCCATAACGTGTAACTGTTTTAACCCCTTAACGATCGGCTAATTTTCAAGAAAACGGTCATAAAAGTGTCTGTTTTTTCCAAACACACGTATTTGATTAGTGCTAGTATCTAGTTTAAAATAAACTAACTATTTAAAATTACCTTAAAAATATCCTGGTACTGCTATATGGTGTGAAAAATAAAATGTTTTCCGGACAAAAGAAATGAATTAGTTTTATTCGTATTGACGCATTACTACTGAACACTCCAGCCCGTCAATATCACGGGAGCGAGAAATAGCGAGCGAAAACTCACCCCGTCATTTTCACGGGAGCGAGAAAGAAGGGGTTATCTCAATTGCTGACAAGAAACTACCTAAAAATTAGATACTTGGACGGTGTTTAAGGAACATTTTGCATGCATTTAAATACAAATAAATACCGCAGAATACACACTTTATTTAACAGAATTTAAATTAATTTAAAAAAACGTTTAAACCGTTCTCGAATCAAAGATTAGTTATCAAGATTTGGCTATTCATCAAAAATTTTACATTAAATACAATAATCAAATAAACTACTACTTTTAAAACAAAAAAAGTTTATTACATATGTAGGAACAATTAAAACACTATATTTATATAGTAATTGTTTTCAGTTGCACTGTAAAAAATTCAGGATAAAATGCATGCAAAGAATTTTACCGTAGAATCCATTCTTAATGTAACATGTTACGAAATATAAAAAACTGATATACCATAATTTTACCGTAAAAACTATTGTGAAATCACTGAATCACTCTAATTGAATAAATATTACTGAAAAATTGCGATATAATACAACTGTATTTTACGGATGATGCACTTAAAGTGCCCGTACTTTGTACAGTAATTTCCTCCGGAATTTTTGACAGTGCAAGTTCTAAAATGAGCAGTAATACAAAGAGGAAGAGTTTTGTTAAAATATACTAAAACTTAATATAAAAATGTTTATAAAAAAATTATGTTTGTTTCAAAAATATTTACACGTTTCAGCTATCCAAAATTCAATTGTACTTCTTTTCTCAGGGATAAATTTTCTTTGATTTCAGATTTCTTTGATGATTCTTCCACTTGAAGACTTAAAATGTTTTTATAAAATTATTAATATTCCGATGCAATCAGGAATCAGTTTTGGTTGATTCACTTTCTTCATCCACTGGTTCCACTTTTATCGTAATTTGAAAATTTCGGTATTCGAAAATGAATGTCAACAAAAATAGAAGAAAGGCGCCGTATAGTAACCATTCAAAGCCGGCGCTAAAGAACAGCAGAGTAAAACCCTGAAAATGTCAAATTTACAGATACTCAATTGAAAAAAATATATAGCATTTTCTTATACATGTCTACGTACAAGTAAATACGTACAGTGAGCAAAAAAATGAACTATATTGAATAACTTTTGATCTAATGATCGGATTTCCGGGTACAAGATTCAATCTTAATGGTGAGAAGGCCTAATTTCAAGTATTTTGGTGAATTAATTAATGCAGACTATATTTTAAATTGTGAAATCAGGCACAAATACGTATTTTCTCTGAATAATTATGCTTTTTTGACGGATTTTGATTTCTGACTCAGAAAAAATTGGGGGTAGCCAATATTTTGGCCACGAGTGCAGTTCAAAGTTTGGTATTAAAGATTTTCTCACAATTATAAAATTCTTCGTTCCAAAGATGATTCCACTAAAAATAATTTTTATTTTTTTAATTATTTTATTTAATAATAAGCAAACAAATTTTGAATTGCAAGGTATAACATTATTTTAGGAAACGTAATTTTGTCAAAATATAAAATTTACACGAAATCTGTCGAATTATTCCTGAGAAATTGGAATTTAAGCATACAACCTCCTTGAAATCAAGAACTATTCGATCTATTTCGCGCAAAATTTGTATTCTGACATATAAAAAGATTTAATTCCTTAAAATGATGTAAGAATTTTTATGCCTTACAATTCAAACATTTTTTACACTATTATTATAATAATTTATATTTTTTACACTATTATTATAATAAAATAATGTAATATATTAAATTATTATTAAACGTAGTTTTTGCGTAGAATTATCTTTGGATAAACGAATTTTATAAATGTGTAAATAATTTTTCGATTCGATTCAATAGTTTCGAAGATATGGTGAAAAAGTAAAAGTAACATTTAAGGGAACCGAATCTTAGGATTGCTCTCTTGACCAAACCATTGGGGCCATATTACGCAGATTACGGTTGCCCCTTATACCTTGGAGGGGGTGAGACATAGAAATTGTAAAAAAAAATTTGCTTCTTCAGTAAGAGTACGTTTTTGTGCCTGAATTCATAATTTAGAATATCTTCGATACAAATTAGCATATTCGAGGTCTCCTCCCTCATACTTTTAAGAATTGACTACAAGAGCGATCCCAACTTTGGAACAAAAGTTATTCATATTGGTTCATTTTGTTTTCCTTTTATACGCTTACACACACTACCCAGTAATTAAAAAAAGTACTTGTTTATACAAATTAGCTCTAAAAATATGAATAGTTAATTTCCTATTTGAAGAAATATAAATGTTTAAAAAAGTTATCATCACTATTTTTTATCGAAATAAAATGCTTTATAGTTAGGATAAATCTTCATTAACAAGGAAAGAGCGTAGTAGTATTAACAACTGTGACTTATTACCTTTTTGTTAAAATAAAAACTTTTCGAATCAGCAGAATAATTTTATTTTGTATTATTTGCTTTATTTTATTTTAATTATTTTACGTGAAAATCAGTGCGCATCTAATAATTATAAGTAAATGTTTACAAATATCCTTAGAAAACTTAGTTAAAATTTAAAAGGAAAAAATATGATTTGTATTACGTGTTCCATTTCTGAACCCCTAGCAACTTATTAGGCGTAATAAAACAGCGTTTCATGTCGCAAGGGGAGTAGAGAGTATAGTGAAGTGTCGATACTTAGTGACAAAGGAAAAAAGGATAAAAAAAAGTTGTATTTTTCTTGGATAGCTCCTGAAAACATTGTCGAATATCATTGTTTCAGAACAAACTGTCGTGAAAATCTTTTCAGTTGCACTGATTTTTTTAAATTTATTTTTCTACTATATATTAATATTTTTGGATCATTCTATTTTTCGCCAAGCAAAATATATAAAAAGTTAATCAAAACTAAATGGAATATTAAATTTTTGCATTGACTGTTTAAAAAACAACACCATTACATGATTTTTTTTATTATTTGAATTTGTAAAGGAAAATTATTTTAATTGATTGTTTAAATCACGTTAAAACTTTTCTTTTTTTCGAAGATTATCTAACGGAGAAATAGGGTATTTTATTGTGACCTAACAATCAGCTCTTTATGTAATTCTTTAGTGTTAAATTTTTAATTGTTAATTTCTGAAGGATAGATAAGTTGACAGACGGAAGAGAATTCATTGTATGTCCTACAGCTACGGTCGTTAGGGTAAGTTTTCCTGGCGTTGCTATGCCAAAGTCACCTGATGTGAAACACACTATATTAAATTTAGCCGAATTCTCTGCGAAATAAGGTAAACCAACTATGAAGTTATTAATTATTTCTGTTTAACAAGAAAGTTATAGATTGATTTTTTAAACATTAAAATTTAATTAAATCCGATATAGTTGGAAAATTCTTCTAAGCCTGGCTTTATTCTCTTGAATGCCCGTATANGTGGTCCTACTTGGAAAACAAAATTCGTGTTGCCACGCTACCCCCTCGCAATGTGAGGGAATTGCAGGACCAGTTGGTGAGAGCTTTGTACCAGATACCTCAGACTACCTATCAGCACCTTGTGGAATCAATGCCACGGCGGGTACTAGCAGTTTTGAGGGCTAAAGGTGGTCCTACATGTTATTAGCAGGGTGGTGATAATGTAGTGGCTCTTCAGTGTATATATATACTTAATTTACTCTACTGCAATTTGTGCTTCATTTAATATGAACTTTCTTAAATTTCAAATAACCAATATTGTTTAAAAAAAAACTGCATGGAAAAACTAGATAATAGACGATCTAAGTGGGTTATAAAATTTTGAGGAATGATATAATAGTATTTGTCTCTACATTTAAAGAAAATTATGATTTTACCGTGTCTTATTTGACTTTAATTACTTAATTTATTTTGTTTTCAAAATTAAATACAATAATTAGAACCTCAAACGTAACAACAATTAGAAATCTGCATTAGAGTTCTAAAACGGACTAAAATTCACTTACCGTATCCTCAGGTAACTTTAAAGCTGGAACTTTAGAGTGGAGTTTCTTCCATTTTTTATGAGATAGAGGAAAAAGTATTACAACTAAACATTAAATAAGGAAAAAAACAGAATTAAATGTTTTAAAAAGTTTTAAAGACATAAATATTTATATTATGTATTAACTTATTTCAAAAACTAAATAATCAAGGAAAATTTAGTTACATCTGTTTGGAACTGTTTAAAAAAACATGTTTTTGCTAGTTCTAAAGACTATTCCGGGGTCTGATTAAAGACACTTCGAACATTTTCCATGTTATGTAAGCATATTTTGATATTATACAAACGTATTTATGCAAACACGTTATTAAAAATTTGCTTTTTTCACTTTTTATAGTCAAGCAAAAATTTATAATTTTAGTTTAAAATTAGTTTAAAAGATAGTAAATATTTTACAGTTCTACTTTAAATAGATATTTATATAAAGATAGATATTTATTTTATTAGAGTTCTACTTTATTAAAAAGCAAAATTGTGAAAAAATTTGTTAAAAAATATGAACAACAAGTTGTTGAATTTACTAGGAAAAGTTATAATTTTCTTAATCCTCAGCTAGATGTATATTTTACACTTTATTGTATCATTCACAAAGTCAAACTCTAACTTAAAATATAACTGCTAGATGGTGCTATATAAAATATATAAAATCTAAAAAATTTTTATTACCAAATAAAGATTCGGTGAGCAAATTGTTTACAATTTATGTGGTTTCGCCCTAGATCCAATACATAACTGCTAAGCATATTTCAAAAAAAATCTTGTATGAAATAAAATTATCAGATATTTGATAATATTAACCAATATTGGTATTTAATTCTAAAATCACAGAAACATTATTAAAAACTTATGTTTAAAAAATAAATTAAAAATATATAATTTATTTAACAATTATTTATTTTTATATGCATAATTTTAACGTTAACTTTAAAATAAAAGATAAAATACACAATCATGAACATGTTTTAATAATAAGCTCAAAAAATAGGTTCAAAATTAAACCCAAAAGTTGGTATCTTAAATTCATAATATTCTACTCAAGAGCTCATTATTTAAAGTAATTAAGTTGATTAAGAAAAACTTAACATTTTATACTTACACATACAATACTTAACATTTTATATTTACATTTTATATATACTTATACATACATTTTTTACTTACATTTTACTTAATTTTTAATACCTAACATTATACTTAATATTTACTTAACATTTAACATAATATTTAACACTTTTTAACAAAGTGAATATAGTTTTTATTTCAGATTGAGCAGGATGAAACATATTTCTCAAAATGAAATCTTTATTTGGCACATTAAAGCACTTTTTAATATTTTGATACATATACCGATCCGCTCTCAGAAAATTAGTCAACATTAAACTGATATTATGGTAGATGCTTAAAAAATCGATAAAATTTATAGAATATATTTATAAGCTGGATTAATTGAATGATTTGTTCGTTCGTTTAGATATTTTAATTTATTTTTTCAATCAAGAGAGTGGCCAAAAATGTGTTCGCCCTAGGTTAAATTCACTTCAGTCATTAATATTAATATGTTCTTAACTATAATTAACTTGATTAATGAAAATTATTAAACAAAGTTAATTGATATAAATTAATTTTTCAATGGAATTATTTATAGATAAATGTGCTTTAACTGCATACAAAAAAAATTTATTCTTTAAATAGTTCAAAAAAATGACGAAATATGTAAAAATGAAACTCCAAACCCTTGACCAAGATCCTAAAAAATTTGATTATTTTTGTACATATTTTCCAAGATTGAGACTCATCTAGCGCTTTAATATCGTTTTATTTTTACTCTTCTAGTTAAAGTCGAATTATGTCAAATAGTGCTTCTCCAAAACTTCGTCTTTCCCACAGAAAGGGTAATTAATGCTAGAAAAAAATTGCAATTTTGTTAGTCTCATCGTGTCACAGGACGTCTTGCAGCAGCTATTTCAGGGGATATGGGGTTCAGTTCTGTGAAATAGTGCAAAAAGAAAGTACTGGATATCAATTAAATCTCTAGAAGAGTTACATTTGAACTTTGAACTATCTGTGTGCCATTCTTAGCCAGCATATCTGTTTACTCCCACCGATATTAATGACATTTCCTGGAATCTACTGTAGGCCAATTTGTCGTCCTTCCATCCTCAGACATTCTAGAAGAAACAGGATATCTAGGATATTCTTAAAAATAAATATTTCTCTTGAACCCAATAAAAAAATTTTATCTCGGGCTTAGAAATCTTGTTCATGGATGAATATGGGTCGTAAATATTATTTTTTAAGTGAGGCCAGTATATTTGGTCCAAATTACAGAAAATGCATTATTTAGAAGAACAAAATTAAAGGATACGAGCACCGATGAAACCTGATAGGCACAGACAAATAGCGATTCGAAATTTATTCCATTTCGAATATGTTTCAGGCAAATAATAATTTATATACGTTTGCAGGACAACAAAGAAAAATGCAAACGCAAAATGAGTGATGGATACCAGAAGGTGAGCCCACAGCACTGTTGACATCTAGAGTAAAATAATAATAATTATATATCACATCATTCAATTTATTAAATATTAATTTATTATCTAGTTTAATCGCTTAAAATTAATTTCCAAAAAAATATATAGTACTGAAATATGAACGTAACTTTTCAAATACATTATTTTATTAAAATAATATAGAGACAATACACATGACTTATTCAGGAAAAGTTATCTTAGTTTCAGAAATTCTTCGAGAATGAATATTTTAAAAGTGACAAAAAAGATGGCATTTTAATCACACAATGAACTTTACAGGGATACATATAGTATTACCTGTGGCAAAATTAAAAGAACAATGATGCAGTGAACACTTTAAAAATAACTAATTTTTAACACTGGAGAAAAAACAAATTATGTTACATGAGATTTATTAACAGATCTCAGATTCCATCACATCACTCAATTACATTCTAGAATCTGTCTTCAAACTTCAGAGATTTTTAATGCCATTTTAATCCATTTATCAGCAAAATGTTTATTAAAAACAAAACATTATATATATAACAGGGTTATAATAGTAATATAATGTTACAAGAAACTTCTACAGGGAAGTTTGGACACATTATCGTACGGGACTGGTAGCGTTTCTATATTATCAATTGTTTCTTGGTGTATTTCTGAACAAATCATAATATGGAAGCAGCCCAAGCCGCGTACAGGTACATTTCCGGCCATGGTTTCCTAAGCAATTTAAATCCTGATGATGCACCCTCACACTCTGGAAGTTATCGCAACAATAATGCGAGTCAATAATGTTATATATCAATAGTCAATAATGTTATAATGCGCTACAATAATGTTATATATAACGTCTCTAACTTGTACATTTCCGCAAAAAATTTAATTCTATAAAAAAATATGTAACTTTCAGAAAAAAATTTAATTTCAAATTTTAAATCCCCTCACTCGAATCACACAAGATCAAACATTAAAATAAATGCAAAAAAAATTTTACCTTACAGTAATCCTTATGAATAACTACTAAACTTGATACATTAGTAAACTATAGAGGAAAGGAGTACTATAATTTTTAAAAAAAATTACAATGACATTTATAGAGAGAGAAAAAAATAGAAAGAGAAAAAGAATTGCTGTTTGATGCAATGCTTACCATTTTTAGAAACTAATGAATCAATCTCATACGTATGACAACTTTAAAGACAGTGTCATTTCTAAGTTAATACTGTTTTAATAAATTTTATTTTTATGTAAATATCTATCATGTTCTGGTTACAATTTAATAAGTCATATTTTAATATAATTAGGGAAGTAATGACATGCTTAGCCGTACGAAAAATTTTATCCATTTAATAACTATAATATTTGCTTTACTTTCTTAACATTAATCTGAAATACAAAAACTTTCCAGAAACATGAAAGGAGAAATAAAAATTTGAATAATTTTAGGGGAAATGGTTACATTTTAACACACTATTATATCTTACTATTTGAGTCTAGAAGAATTTTTTTCATGACCAAAATGATTAAAATAAAATACAAAAATATCATACAATATGCAGAAAAGGATAAAAATTAACATTCTTTTTTATGCATTAATTAAAAATAACCAAAGCATTGATAGTATTTAATTAACTGCTTTTTTTTAATTTTTCATTTATTAGTTTACTTACCTCTTAGTAACATATTTTGAAGCTAAAATTTATTGTTCGCCGTTTTTTAAGTCTCAGGACTTAGAATGTTAAACTACATAATTGATGATAAAAAAGTACTTTAACTGAATAAATATCTGAATAAATACTGAATAAATATGAATTCGTTCATTTAACACTAAAAATATAGGGATAGTAGTAATCTAGATTCATTTAAAGTTAATATAATACACTAATTAAATTATTTATTTTAGAGAATCCAGTATTTTATTATAAACACATGTAGATAGAAAGAAAAAAAATGGATTTATTATTATTATTATTAATATTTTTAATTATTGAATGGACAAGATTCAACTAATGGTGAAAAAATGGAGAATATGAAAAAAAATAAAAGTGAATATGAAAAAAAACATTGTATCATTTCGCCTGAATCACTACGTTTTGTACGAAAAAAAATGCTTAGGTCATAGTTGAGGGAAAAAAAGTTGTTCAATATCTTCCACTTTAGTTGCTGACCTTGACTGCATTGAACTCTCTTGATAGCGAAACCGAAAATTTTTACTCGTGTACTCGTTTTGTCTTTTTCTAACTCCAGCCTGGAGATAATTTTATCAAAAGTTCATTGATTTAACGCTTCTTTCGTAATAATCATCTGTCTATTAATATCATAAGCTCGTAATCTCATGCCGATTAACTAATTTAAAGTTATTTACGCAAATATTTTTGTCAGTAAATTTTAATTTAATATTCGAGTTCAAATCTGTGATTTTTTTTTAAAGGACGCTGTAATTTTTATTTGTTAGTCAAACATACAATGTTTTGGTAAAAATATGATGAACTCATCTTCTAGTTCATTAAATAGCATGACATTTCTCTTTATACATTTTCGTATTATTATTATTATTAATATTATTGTCATTATTATTATTATTATCATTATTATTATTATTATTATTGTTATTATTATTATATTGTAAATTGAAAAATAAATAAGAAAAGATTAACTAATTCACAGTTTTAAAATGCTGTGGCTAAAACTCATGCTTAAATTAATGGAAAATATTCCTAACTTGATTTCCTGAAATTAAAGTCTAGCATAAAACCTCGCTTAAAAGAGAATTTCAAAAAAAAAAAAAAAAAAAAAAAAAAAAAANTTAAAAAAAAAGAAAACTATAAAAACAAAATTGCAAAATTCAGACAAACTATCATTTTGAAGTTAAAGGAGAAGCTTTAAAAAAAATTGGGGTACGTCGAAAATATAAGAATTCCTGAAAACATTGTCTGTCCGCCCACTCATTTCCTTAAAATGATGATTATATATAGTTGGGAGAATAAGATAATGGCTACATTTATATCCATGAAGAGTAAATTGGATATTCTGTATTTACAGGAACGCATAAAAGTATGAAACAAATAACATTAGTTATCGAAATTTAAAAGGAAAATATTTTACTTCGTTAAAGAAAAAGAAATTTATCTTTGAAGTTAAAAGACGCTAGTTCGAACACAGAAAAAAAAAATTCTGGTAAAATTACGGAACTGTAAGATAATGACATTTCTGGTAAATAAAACCTTAATTCTGGTAATAAAAGCCAAAATATCCGGAATTTAAGCCATTCATTTGGTAATTTTTCCGTTCATATGGTAACGGTTTACCGGAACTTCTGTTTTTCAAAATTACAGTTCTCATTACAGCACAGTAAATAAAAAATACGAAACTGAAAATTAAATTTTATCGAATAAATGGTTTTTACACAGCCATGCGGAGGTATTATGATGAAATTACCAAATTTTGAAAAAAAATATAACATTTTTATTTTCTGCTGGTCATGTGGATGAGAACACCAACAACAACAAACCGTATTTAATTATTAATTTTACCAAAATCAACAAAGCGCTTCGTTAAAAATTACCGACCATTTTACTGCTCTCATAGAGCCAGAAACAAGGTAAATTTTACCATATTCGGATAATTTTGACCATACTTTTTTTTCAGTATAAATTAAGACAAAAAATAGTCTTTCAAACTAAAGTGTTAAAGTGTGTTCCAGTTTTTCTTTTATCGTTTTTATCAGTTAGTAATGTTATCTGTCTACAAATTTTGTAACTAATTTTGATACGTTTTCTACGCAATTGGAAATAACATTCTAAAATTACGGTCAAGTAACCGGCAACAGTCTATTCATCCAATTAATTGTAAAGTTTACGGTGAAGAACATTTTTTTACTTTTATGGTTTTGAAACCATTAATAACTAGTATGATTTAAAAACCATGAATACAAAATTATATATCTTTTAATCACTTACAATTAACATGGTTTCAGAACCGTATAAAAATAAATTTTACTGAACTTTGAAGGTACTTCAGCAGTTTTATGGTGTTGCATGCGAGAATAAGAGTATCATATTCTAACAGGCCAGGATCAAAAACGGGGGAGTACACTGCAAACTTTTCGTGTGTTGAAGGGAATGAAGGTGGAAAACACTGTGGTGTCAACGCTGGGACTCGAACCCTCGTTCTGTCAGTCATGAAAAAGACAGATCTATCGGGTATAATATGTACCCATCTTCAAAGAACTAAGTGGTTTCATTAGATGGGTCTAGTTGATGTTATAAAATTCTGGTTGTTTGACCGTATAAACGATTTTTTTCACAGTTAACAGTTTGAATACCATCTTATTAATGATTATTTAACTGTTATGTGTGAATATGGTAAAATTACAGTTAAATTATTTGTTATTTAGCCATTTTTTCCGAGAAATTTCTATATATATAAGCATAAAGATATAATATTATATAAGCATAAAGACGCAATCATAGTTTTTTCAATAATACGTTTTTTTTTATTATCGATTTTTCAAATCTTTTTACACTTTTGTGACAACCAGTATAATTTAGCTACTTGAGTAGCAAACGTGTAATTATTTTCATTTTTCTTCTAGAGCTTCTGTCTTTTTTAATACAACTTAAACAAAATAAATCACACTTAATTATAGACGACATTATCAAGAAAAAGAACAAGATGTCTTAAACTTCAATTTTTAGCATTTAATTTCCAAATAACTACATAAAAACATAACAATAAGAAAGAAATGAAAAATTATACATTTTGGGTTTCAGTCCCACAAATTTCCAATATTTTTTCGCATTTTTACTGATACCATTTCCCCCAAAATGATTGCGAAATCAAGCATTTTGAGTTTAAGATAGACCAATTTTTTTTTATAAGCAAAAGCGTTTCAATTTTAAACCGTTATCATTTCACCCGAATTGTTTGCAAAACCATACACTTTACGTTTAATACCCACAAATTTTATATAGGCATTCCAATACATTCCACTTTTAAATTGTCCCCGTTTCATTTAAAATTTATAAAAATAACTATTTTGTGTGTAAGACTCATTGTCATATACATTGGCAAAAATAATATTGGCATCTTATTGCCAATATTATTTTTTTTTAACTTTTAACTGTTTGATACATTACTAAAACAATAGTGCTCATCGAAATTTCTGAATATAAAACTAGGTGAAAATGCGATTTTAATTTTTGATTTAGGTTGTTTTAGTTTACGTTGTTTTAGTTACGATTTTAATTTTTGATTTAGGTTTTGATTTAGTTTACGTTGGCAAACAAAGAATCGGTGCAACTTACAGGAATCGCTGCTACACCTGCTAAGCATGCCATAGATATTAGTCCACACCACAATCCTACAAGATTAACATTCCAAAGCCTTTTGTTGTCTCTTGACAATATACTTCTCAAAATTAGATACCTGTGACAAACAATTAGAACTCCTGAAAAAATAGAAAGCACCAACCTAACTTTAGCAAAATCAGGATGAAAAAAATTCCAATTATTAAAATAGCATAGTATCCGAACACTTTTCTTCTTTCAAATATATTTCATGCCATACTGATGATAAAGACAAGAAATAAATTTGAAGAAAGAAAAATATTGATGGAACAAAGATCACAATGTTTTCAAAAGCAGGCAATATTATAGAAAAAATATTTTTTTTTTAAATTTTTCATATTAAATTTATTTGTATTAAAGGATTATTATCTTATTAAGACATTGGTTCTATTGATATTTTAAATGCAACGAAAACGTTGCTTTTCAGCCGAAAGCAGTTCGAAATTCGTTACAAAAAGTAAATTTAAAAATAATATTCTTCCTCAAAACAATATAAACAATGTTCAAGTTGACTTTAAAACAATTAGGTATCAAATATGAAATAAAAATTCGAGACCAGAGGAATATGCTTAAATAAGTTTAATTTGGCATAAAATATAATACTTAAAATAAAAATAGAAACTATTTAACGGTTAAAAATTAAATAATGAATAAACTTACCGAGAAAACTTCCAATTATGAGTGTATAGCTAAAAATACATATTTCTGGTACCTCTGCACCTGTCTCACTGAAAATAATAAAAAAAATACATTTACTTTTACATGTGTGATCATTTTTATTTAATAATAACAGTACAATAAACAATGTTTTAAAGACACGTGATAGAAAACGTAAAGAGCACATCACGTAATGCAGAGAAGAATTAGAAACAAATTACAACTAGGAAGAAATAAATTTAGCTAGTAGGGTAGGGGAACGAGATTTAAAAATATCCATAACAGGAAAATAGGAACACTGAGGGGATGTGCGAACCTAATAAGAAATACCGAGATTAAAATGGTTTCAAAGGCATTAAGAAGAGAACACACAGTTTTGACAAATTTAAAAATGTAGTCGTGCTGTCAGACTCACAGGTAACCATCCAATCCATCAACTATTCGGACTCCAATATCAAACGAGATTTCCCAATGCCAAGAGATGTTGATTTTCTTGAGATCTCGGCAATAACGTATTGTTTTGCAATGGATTCCTGGCCACTTCAATTTATTTGGTAACGCTCAGGCAGATTTTCTTGTCAAAAGGGATGCCATGCTTTACTGTACAAAACGAGAAACCTCTTTCCATACTTCTAAACTTTATATTAAACAATTTATGCAGTCGACGTAGCAGGATGAACTCATATGTAAGATGGAAACCAAATACGGAAAAGATTGCTTTCTGGATATTCCTGATAAACGGAAGCAGTGGCATCTTTCCGCCTGTTTACTGGGCGCGATTGTCTTGCCGCTCATCTGAACCGCATTGGTATTCTTAACGAGGCTGTCTGTCCCCAGTATGACAAAAATGAGTCCATGGACAAACATCGCCTGCGTGCCTATGTAACTCTCCATGATACTTCTAGATATTGGGAAGCTAGAAGACTTTTGGAATTTTAGCCTTCGGCTATTTCTTTAACTTTTTCATGTTTTTCTCTCTATTGTTGCTCCTCTGTTTTTATCCCGTATTTGTTTGTTTTTTCTGTTCTGTATTTGCCCTGTACCTTACCTTGTTCATATGCGCCAGAAATAAGAAATAAAAAATTTTTAAAAAAAACTTTAAGAAGAATAGGATTCTGGAAAGGACAATAACTTAAGCGTAAGAGTTTTCAAAATATAAAATCATTCTAAGAAATTTAGGTCCATGTTAACTGATTTAAGCAAAACAAACTTAAACCTATGATTTGAAATTAAAAATTTATATCAAAGAGGACCATGTGAAATCTTAATTTAGAGCAAATCTTTCGTATTATTAAAGTAAGCATTTAAAGATTTGTTGAATTTGTCCCATATAAGCAAGACCACATTGACAAAAAATTTTGATAAATTCTCCTGCTGTTTCTATTCTTTCTGTTTGATTATCTCATTCGAGTAAGTTTTTTTCTTTATTTGTTTTTGGTTAGTTATTTTCCTCTGCATCTCTGTGTTTCCATTTTTTATTCTGCGTTCAAACACACATGAAAATAAATAATAACACTTATGCTATTGTCAGCTATGTGATCTTAAACTTTGGTGAAATTTAGCTCGTTAACAGGAGAAAAATGCAACTATAAAATCAAATTTATTCAAATTATAGTAAATTGTGAGCGGATTCTGGGATAATGACAAATCAATTAAGCTGAAATGATATGTACTATACCTAAGTTTCCTTGTCCTAAGTTTATAATACAAAACATATGCTGTATTAAAAAATTATTTTTTTGTTTATTTTTAGAGAAATATACTAATTCATATTTTTTAAAGTGTGTCTTCTTTTTTTTAAGGATATTAAATTCTTACTTCAGAGATAAAAACTCCAAATTACATGAGGCTTCCAACTAATGAATTGAAGTAAAAAGCCTAATCACTTGAATGCATTATAACTTTAAAAAACTTTGCAATATTATGTTATGGAATGTCATGATAAGAGCCTTTAAAGTATATTATTGGAATCCTTGTCAAACATGAAAAAATCTCCCCACCTGTAATCACAAAATGTTATTTAATGAAGAACAACATTATCAATATGGATTAAAGCGAATATGGAGTTATCACTTTGGAATTAATATGGAGTAAAGCGAGATAACGAAAATAATAACCTGTTTGAATATAATGATATGATTTGAAAGATATTATAAATTATTTGCATTTTACCTGGAAATCAATCTGATTTTAATGTTTTTAAATCCACCATCCTCGGTAATAATATTTCTTTTCTTTACTTAAATATTAATTTTATACTCCAAGTCATTTCTCGGATTTTGATTTTGAATAGGAAACAAAATCAATACCCTCTTTGACCGAGATAAAGTAAAGCTCTGAGTGCGTGTTATAATAAAACAATTTTTTTTTCGTAGTTTAAAAAGTTTTAAAAATTGATAAGGTGAATTAATAAATAATGTAGAACCAGAACGGGAAATTTGAAATGTTTTTCTACTGTCACACTTCTGATTTATCATAATTTACAGCACTACATGTTTTTGTTTGTATTTCGGTTATGCACTTTTATTTGTATGTACTTTTGGTCTGTTATTAATTTAAATATTGTCATTTTCTATTAAAAATATAATTCTCTCCGATTACTTTTATCATTTTTTAGCAATTATTAATTTTTTTGCTCCTCAGTTTGATTTTAATACGAGGGTTGTAAAATAAATAATGGCAACTTAACCTTGAAACTCACAGAAGGGCGGGCATGCGCAAATTGGATACGGGAGCGGTGAGGTGGCGCTGTTGTCGATGTGTAGAGTGCAAAAAAATGTCGATTTGCTAAGAAGGGTAGTTGTTGTGTGGCGTTAAAGTGAGGAGTTTCGTTTCCATCGCTCTAAAGCATGTTTTCAAAAGGTGATCAGCGGTCGTGGCTTACAATCGAGGTTGCCCGTGGCAAAAATGCAACAGAATGCTATCGAGGATTAGTGGAAGCCTTTGGAGCAAATGCTTTACCATATAGGACAGTAGCACGATGGATTCAAGCATCTCGTCTTNAGTATATATATATATATATATATATATATATATACACCGAAGAGCCATTACATTATGACCACCCTCCATCTACGCTCGCCCAAGTGTTCATGGTTTCTCACCCAGGAACAATGTTTTCCTGGGGCACATTAGGACCCATAATCCTCATAGAACAATACATAGTTGCAGACCAGGTTCACCCATTCATGGCAACAGTTTTTCCTGCGGGGGAGCGTGTTTACCAACAGGATAATGCACCATGTCATGAGGGTCGAATCGTCGAGGAACATTCCAGTGACTATCAAGTTATGTCTAGGCCCCCAAATTCACCTGACCTTAATCTAATAGACCATTTGTGGTCCTACTTGGAAAATCAAATTCTCGCTGCCACGCTACCCCCTCGCAATGTGAAGGAATTGCGGGACCAGTTGGTGAGCGCTTGGTACCAGATACCTCAGACTACCTAGCAGCACCTTGTGGAATCAATGCCACCGCGGGTGCTAACAGTTTTGAGGGCTAAAGGTGGTCCTACATGTTATTAGCAGGGTGGTCATAATGTAATGGCTCTTCGGTGTACATAGTAAAAAAAATTTGAAAACTGATGCGTAAAGCATGCACAGGTTGGGTTTTAATTTAAGATACCCTTTTTAGTGCAAAATATCTCCCAGGAAAGAATGTTGGCTTATATATACAATATATATTGGTGTATATGTATTGTAGATGTGGTTGCATTTTTAAATTCAAAATTTAGAAACTGATTTTTTTATAACATTATCCCCTTAGACATATCTTCGGATTTTACACTTAGGATAGATTAGGAAAAATGTCAATGTAAGGAATATCGGACAAAGACACAAGCATTCCTAGGTCAATCCAAGTATTTTACTACAAACTAAGTTTATATATTAATTTTCTATAGCAATAATACTTAATTTTTAGTGCAACTATTGTAAATCTAACAAAGATGTTAAATATTTTATAAATTATGCCAAAAATAAAAGTTATGCATTTTTCCTACTTATGATTTTTGATTTATGTTCAATTTCAAGTGTATTTCAAAAATATATTTTTCTTTTTTGTACTTCCATTATAAATAGTTTTTAAAGACCGCACTTCATTTTTTTTTAACTTTAAAAAAATTACCCTAATTTATAATTGCCACAAATCATTTATAATTGAAAGTTACGTTGCTACGCTTGATTGGAATATTCTAAGTGGAGTAAACGAGCCAACTAAAAAGTAACCTTGCTAGTGAAAATTTATTTAGATTATTAAATTCCATAAATGGGTGCCAGTACAAATTTTTATGTTAATAAAACATGTTAACAAAATATATTAACAAAAATAACAACAATCTTTTCAAAACAAGTATTTCATTACCCTGAAGATAACATTTTTTAATAAGTGCAATTGTTAATTCATTAATGCATATTAGTTCATTAATTCATAAGTGCAATTATTAATTCATTAATAATTAGGACGTGTTTGAAAATGTATCTGAAGCTCATACGAATCATTTTCTTGAAACACACACACCATAAATTTACTTTCTAATTTATTTTAGATTCAATGAATGACTACACTGGTCAAGCACTTCGTTGACTATAACCCCTTTTTTTAAAAAAATTTTTTAAGTTTTACAAGCTTCAAATTATATTTCAATGCAGTCTTTTGCAATGTTAAGAAGAACAAAATAAAAACGTAAGTTCACATAATTTTTTTTAAATAACTATACAAATATTCAGGAAATACTTCTATGAATAAAATTGCGTGTATATCTTTTGAAACTTCACATATCGCACTTTCTTTTTCGTCGCTAATTGGTAAACACACGAAGAGCATGGCTTCTCAATCATTCTCACGCAAAAAAGAAATGTAAACAAACGACGTCACAGTTCGCTGATATTCCGTTATAGCATAATTTATCACAATAAATAGATCTATATTTAAAAACTGTGTTTATCTCTTAACATTTTTGAGTATTATATTTTCACAACAAACAGGTCGAGTTTCTTTTTTTTTATGTTGTTTTGGGAAAATTATTTTTAGTAAAAACAAAGTTTTCAGGGGAATGTACTTGTTTATTTTTAAAATCAAACTAAAAAAATATATTCGACCCAAATGGTATTTTAATCGTAAAGAGCCACCCCAACCAGCAGAGTGCCAAGCAATGTGGACAATCGAGCACAAGGCCCCGAGTCACACTCAAAAATAGGTGCTACATATTACGTTGGCAGATAAAGGAGACCTGGGAGCAGTTAAACTCTAAATTCATATCGACTGCAGGAGTGGACAAAATAGATATCATTAAAATGGCCGCGTTTGAAAATGTATTATGTTCTCATATCAAACTTGTAGTTATACTTCAGATTAAAAAGCTTGCTTATAAAAAAAAATTAAAATAAAAAATTAAAAAAAAAAGAAGAAAAAAAAAGGAATTATATATATATATATTCCTTTCTTTATGTTAATCAATAAAAATTATGTAGGCTAAATAAGCTAATTGGTCCATATCTCATAAATGAAAATTATTTTAAAACATTCTGTTTTTATNATATATATATATAACTATGCACATTAGATTTTTCAATATTTATGAAAAGTATGCTATATTCCAATTTAACTATTTGCCTTTAATAATTCAAAAAAAATATTTTCCAACTAATATTGAAAGCCACATTATTTAAAATTATTATGTCTGCCAGTTAAAAAAAATCATAAACAGTAAACAACGTGTATTGTCAATAAAGAGTTTTGTTTCTTTTCTTTTCTTTTTCTTTAAATTAAAATTTACTGTTATGAAATTTTTAAAGTAGTTTACCAGGTGATGTCATGGCATTTAACAGTTATTTAAAAAAGATAATGCATGAAGCAAAGGATGTAACATACATATTTATAAGTAAACTCACCTGAAAAATGGTATGTAAATAGTAACATGCTCATTTGCTAACGCCACTATAAAGCCAATTAAAGATCCTATTAGTAGAATGGCTGATTGCCATGCAGGTAACCAATATAGTTTTTTAAAACTTATCGTCGCGTCCATGTTTCCTCGATCAAAATAGTTCTCAAAAATCTTTAAACAAAACATGGGGAGCTAAATTGCGATAATGAGTATCAAAATATTATCTCGAAATAAGATAAACTAACTAGTAACAAAAACCAGCCAGTTCTCGTCGAAGCAACTAGAAGGAGCTAAACGCAAGGTTAGTATTCTCGTAAACATGTGAGAGAAAAAGTGGAATGTCCGGTAAAAGGACGATTTGTCCTTGAAAGAAAAATTGCCGCGGGATAACTCACCTATATAAAAGTAATTATGAAACGATTTACTGCTCGTTAGTAATACTGATTATTTTCCTTAAGGGAAACAAAAACTTTTTACTCAATAAATATTGTGACTTAAATTAAGCATTTATTTTAGAATTTCAGTTGAATCCATCCCCTATTATCTTCAGTTTTAAATATTGATAATTAGATTTGTTAATATTTTTTTTATTTGTAAAAATAATAATATTTAAGAGAAAGTAATAATATTTAAATGAATTATAATTATCTAAAAAGAAAATGAATTATATTTGTGCTGCCATCTATAAGAAATTAAAGATACTAATGTAACAAAAGGTATAAAAAATAAAACATAAGATATCCGTTGAAAAATGTGTCAAATTAGAAATTATTTTATTAAACAATAATTGTAAGCATATGTACATAAATTTGAAATTCTCGGCTATTTGTGTCATTTATTTTTATGCTTAGCAATTAAGTAAAATATTATTTATTAATGAATTTCGATTTGAACTGTTTTACTTCGTTTTTTCTTGAAAGTTTATTTTAATTAAATTTAATGTATAATTAAGGATTTATGTTAGCATATAGTTACATTCAACAGTATAATTTAATTAAATAAAATTGATTGTACATAATTATTTATTAAATTCTTTTTCTCAATTACTTACGAATTTATCTCATCGAATTCTCATCTGTATTCATAACGCCAGAAGGGAGGCCGGTATTGAAAAATAGATTAATAATAATAATGGAATTAATGAAAAATATTGATTATTGAGAATTATCATAAATAATTTACTTAAAAATACTGTTAATTATTTGTTTTCCGTTTAATATTACTTTGAAAATTGAAAATCCTATTTTAAATTCATTTTTCATCTATACTATCAAAATAATTAATTGTATATGATTTGTTACTAAATGGTTTGAAATAAAGAAGTAAAAGAAAAGATGCAGGACTTAAAAAAAAACGCAGGAAGATTTTATTAAAGAAAAAGGTAAAGTGGAAGAATTTACTTTGGATCAAGGTGGTTAGTTATAGGGTTGTGCGGAATGTATTTCCTTAATGATAACTACAAACGGGTCAAATGCCCCGAAACACTCTCATTTTACGTTAGTTCAGTAACATAAAACAATATCTCGTTTGCAGAGGTAAAAACCATTAAATAAAAAAATTTTATTAATATGTTCTCGTTATATTATTCTTTAGCTATTAGGATTAATTATGACAATTAAAATCTAAAAATTTTTTATTTAGGGATATTAGTATGTTAGCAATATCTCTAGGGCACTATGACATAGGGATATTTAGTTTGGAATATTATCAATTTTATCTCAGGTCTTAAATTTCTATGATATTTTTTGTAGCATCACCGAAATGTAAAAACTTACAAAACATTAAAAAATACTAAAATAATAATTTTGAAATAAAACCAACTCTAGAAGAAGAAAATGCCTTGATGTTAGTTAATTATGATATTTAAATATTGCTTTTTTAGTATTATCTTTTTTTATTCGTTCATTTATATTATTTTATTTATTTAATTTTATTTTATGTCTTTAATTTTTAGAAAAAAACAGGTATCTGACATTTTCCATTATAAGAGAAAACCGTGTTCTTCTGCACTTAATGAAATTTATTTTGATTTGCCACGGGAAAAATCCCGTTCCCTAAATGCAATCACAACACAATTCTATGATATTTAATAGAATTCTCAACCGTTTCATGCATACACTCTTCGCATTTTGAAATATCACGCCGGTTTTTGCAACAGTAGACATGAATTTTGAACTTTAAAATTCCAGTATGCGTAAGTTCATTTTAATTCGCTCCTGTGTAAATAGATTTCCTTTCGTGTACTGTTCTGTAATTTCTTAACTTTTAATTTTCTGTTCTTTGCTCGATTTGTTTTATTTTATATATATTTTTTTACTTAATGTGTTATATTTTCGTTTCAATTTTTTGAGTGCTCCTCACACTATTGTATTGATATATTTTGCTTTAGCTATATTGAGACAATATTAGAAAGCACTCCTATTGCGGATATAATCGTGTGAGCTGATGAGGAGANTGCAGTAAGAACGTGCCATAAGATATCACTTTATTTATGCTTCTATTTTCATATTTTGTAATCTGGCAATCTGATTACGAAAATATTTTAAATCATTCTTGAAAATTTCCAGTATGCATAAGTTTATTTTAATTCACTCCTCACTATATAGATTTCCTTTTGTGTACTATTCTGTAATTTCTTTACATTTAATTTTCTGTTTTTTACATATTTTTTACTTAATGTGTTCTATTTTCGCTTAAATTTTTTGAGTGGTTCCTCACACTATTGTATTGATATATTTTGCTTTAGCTATATTGAGACAATATTAGAAAGCACTCCTTTTGCGGATATAATCGTGTGAGCTGACGAAGAGATTATATATTTTGTTTTCCGGATTTTTAATAATTTTTTTAAGATAATTTAAAAAAATTTTTTTTTAATACATTTGAAAGATACTTTAATAATTTTCTTCTCTTTTCATTATTTTTTACTATTTTTCATATTTTCTTAATATTTTAACAAAGGTAAAGTAACATTTCTACTACCAAAAATTAACATCGTTAGCTATAAATGAACCTATTATTAATACATATTTGATGCCAAGGTCGTAAAAATATTAATGACTTTTTTTTGTCAATTTATTCACTCAATCTAATTTAAATTATTGCCTCATTTTTGGTTGAAGAAAAACTTTATATGTTTTAACTGCATGCAAAAATAACATAACTTCATTTAAAAATTTATTGCCTACCAAAACTGAGCAGACTCGTTTCATATAAGTTGTTAAATCATTTAAATACTTAGAGAAAAAAACTTTTTAATAATTTCATAAACATAAAAATTACTTAAGTATATTAAATTTAGCCCTTTGAAGCAGATGGGACACCTTTGAGCAGATCACTTTTCATAAGTTTTTTTCTGACGCTAAAATTTCAAGTAAAATTATATTTTGATATTTTTTAATTATGAATAACAATCTTATAATTACTTAAAAATTTGTTAGATTGGTTATCAGAATTATATTTGTACTAAAATATAAAATAAAAAAAGTAGTTGAAAAATTTTTTTTCGTTTACATTCAAAAAAATTTCCAACAATTGATTTCATTAATTGATGAAATTTCAATTGGCAATAACTGTTTCTAAGTCTGCAAATAACTGCAAATAAGTACATATTTGAAGAAAACAAATATATGTTTGTAAGTGAGCCGTGTTTGGAAGATTTTACCTTACTAAACAACACATGTAGAAAAAGACAAATATGTGTCATGTTGCATTTCATAACCATAAACTATTAAAATACTAAATATAATATTTTGCTCTTATTTTAAGCTAAAATAATACAAAATAATGAAAAAAGTATAAGAAACATATTTATTAAAATTTAGTGTCCAAGGGTCAATATGAAATAAACTATTTTAGTTTCTATGGAGTTTAGCCAATACGTGTTCTTATTATAGTTTTAATTGTAAAGTTAAATTAAAAATGATTGAATAATTTTTAAAATATGATAGCAATTAACAATTTTTATACTAATTAAAACACTAGGAAGCTCATCATCTGCTCGCTGTCGTTCATTAGCCATAAAACTACTAACGTTGTTCATTTCAAATTGTTTCGGGATAAGAGATCACACTAAGATCAATCAAGTTAAGAAATTAAAATTTTTTTATTGTTTAAAACATGGTATTTGAATTTAAGTTGCATGCTTATAAAGTCATACTTTGTTGTGCACATTTAATTAAATGCTGTTGTACCTATTTAATTAAATATTTTTGTGCATATTGATAATTTAGTATTTTTAAATAAGACTTCTTAGATTATTCAAAGAACAAAAACAGAATATTTTATTTCTAAAAAACAAGGACACACACAAATAACAAAACTAACATAGTTATCTGAGCAAATGACAGACATATTACTAAAGACAATACCCATAACTTAAAAAGTTAATTCATGAGAATCGATTATTTGAAAAAAATAATTTGCATTAGAAATATGATTCAAGATTTAAATAAATAATACTATCTCATTTAATACAGTAAGCTACTGCAAAATAATATTCATAATAAAATACAAGACACAAAAATTTAACATGAATCAGTTATGAGGTAAAAATAAACAACAATATGCATGTTAAGTAGTATATAAATAACAAAATCATTTTTAAGAAAATACCTATAATATCATAATAATACCTATTTTAAATTAAAAGAAAGAATATTGTGTAGAAACAACAAAGAAGAATTCTAAATTACAGTTCATTGTATAACTGCAAAACACAAACATAAGTAAGACCAAACCTTCATTTTAAAGTAGTACCTAACACAAAACAGGTAAAAAAAGCTTTGAATATATCAAATGGTTTGTAAATATGAAACAAAATAATATCCATTAGCTTTGTTTACAAAAGTAAGAAATAATATACTTGAAAACATAGTAGTATTTTAAGTATAATACCCATCAGAATATAATAAAGTAATCGTAAAATACAGAAAAATATAACTTACAAAAACTCGATAAAGTACATTTAAAATTTTTAACAAATTTTACAATTAATTTTGAGCATTTAAAAAAAATACTTCATAGTTTCACAATTTATTTCTCTGTTAATTGGAAGCGGAATTAAACTGAATGAAAATTTCTGCCCAATTAAACATCAAATAGCGAGAAAAATTAAACTTATATGCATAAAACAAATCAAAGCAATATCTCAACAGACTATTGTGAGCCTGAAGAATCATGCCAATTAGATCTCCACAAATTCGTGACCAACGGGATACTGGCATCAGTATTGTATAGAGATCACCTTTTTCTTCAATCAAGCTGGCACATACCGATGTGAAGCTGGGCGGACTGAAAGCCAGGGCCAGTGACAAAACACTAATAGAACATTACATAGAACATCACACAGAACATTAACAAAACTCAGTGCCTGAACTACTGTCAAACTGTGCAACATAAAACATAAATTCAATACAATTATAATTAATTCATTTAAATTTCCCCCAAAAATTTTATAGTTTTCATTTAGTTTGTAGAAGAGCTACTGTAGTTTTTGATAACCAAGGGGATTAAGATATCAGCTGTAAAATTGGTTACACAATATTTTGGTAACTTACAAATTCGTGTATAAGAAACTTTGGTACCACGCAGAAACTTTGAGTTAAATTGTTATACAAGAGCAATGCGGTCATAGTGATGAATGCAATAAAAGTTCATAAGAAATACAATATTTGTCGATTCTTTTGAGAGTCCAATATTTAATGATTATACATGAAAAATATCTGCTCAATACATAAACAAAAATAGTGGTCAAAAAACTATTTTGATTATTTTGTAACTGTACATAAAGGTTTTTTTTTGTATACAGCAGCTTTATTTTCAACTCTTACAGAGGTGATAAAAAAAGACACAATCAAAATTCAAAATTGTTATATTGTACTTCCCATAGAGATTATCGAATAGTACAGTAATTAAATAATAATAACCTAGAATTTTCAATATGCATGATAATTTCAATATGCGATTTGTAACAGTCAAAGAAAAATATTTTTATTATGTTTTTGCATTTTCTTATAAAATTTGCAGACAAAAGCTGTGGTTGAAATATTGCTATTAGCAAGCAAATGTGGTTATACTGGTACATTGTAAAAGACTCGGAATTAAATTACTGTATAAAGTACAGGCACTTTGGGGGAATTATCTTTAAAATTCATTTTCCAGTAAAATCCATTTTACCATTACATCCATTTTTGCAGTAAAATATTATTAAATAATTTTTACAGTAATATTTTTTTAGTTAGAGTGATTCAATGATTTTACTGTAATTATTACTGTAAAAGATAACATGTAACATCCGCCGTAACATTTTCAGGTAAAAATAGACTTTACGGTAAAAAAGTACCGGCACAATCAATGCCAGTTCTTTTTAAAGGAATTTGATCCGGAATTTTTCTCAGTGTACTGAAAATTTAATAGAAAAAAATTATAACATGATTCGACCATTGTTTGGAAAAAATAGCATGCAGTTAAACTTGAGACCTACATTTTGTACAAGAATAATCTATCTTACATAATACATTGGTTCAGTCTTTAAATTTTTATTCCTTCAAATAAAAGGTCTTAATTCAAGAACTCAATCTTGATCATTATAGGCTATTTTTAATCACATAAAATATCTGCAAGAATCATTCATGAAATATTCCTGAAAAGTTGCAGTTCCTGAGTACATTTGAATATCTTCTATCCTCTATATCGGATTCATTTCACATTTTCGTAATTTCTTCATTTCCGTTGCGTCTATGGACGCTGTCCAAGTGCATCTTTGTAATTTGTTTCTGCTTCACTCTTATTGTGAGCTTCATGTGCTTAAAGTCCCTGTAAAATGTAGCAATGAAAAGAACGCTGAAGAAAGTGAAAGCCCACTGAGATAAGGAACTGATGATGTAATAGAAACTATACTGAATAAAAAAAAATAAAAAAGAGTCATTAAAAGATAAGACAGTATTATACTTCGTTCTACCGTAACTTGACAGCGATGTAAAAGGTATAACGACGTGATCACAGCGTTGTCATGGAAACTGTCATGTGTGGCTTGTCTTAACCAAAGTCAAATTGTCAATGACATAGTTTCGTTTTAACGTCTCCGCTTTACTTAGAAGTAATTTAACACAGAAAAACTATTATCATATATTTCATAAATAAAATGTTCATATTTTATGAAATCCATTAAAAACTTTGTAACCATTTAGCTGTTTTAAAGTTAAAAAAAGCCTATAGTATAGAATGGCACGAACGTATAAAATAGCCTAAAGTATAAAATGGCACAATTTCTCGTGGTACATTAATAAGTTATGGTGGTCGCTTGTCAAGTAAAAGTGAGACGAAGTATACTTAAATCATATATTACACCAAGCATATATTACACCGAGGAAAAAATTCTGATAAAATTACGTTACTAAATGGCAATGACATTTCTAGTAAAATGAAGAGGGAAACTTATATTATTACCGAAACATGCACATGCGGTATTTATATCATTTATTTGGTAACTTTTATTTCTTATTGTCACACATTTAGTATAAATACATAAATGAAAAGTAAATTTTACTGAATAAATGCTCTTTATGCCATGCTCTGAAATATCATGATGAAATAACCCAAACTTTAACACATTTAACAATTTTTTCGCATATTACAAAAAAAATATTTTATTGTTAATTTTACCAAAATCATTTCAAAAGCCAAAATCATAAGCAATTGATTGATTCACGCATATTGAGTTAATTGCATAGGTCTTCAAATTTAAATAATTTCACAAAGTACAATTATAATAGTATCAATACTTGCTAATTTTTTCTCAGCAACAAATTTGTATAAGACACCAGAGGAGTTTAGATCAGAATAGATATTTGTTTGTCACTTGAATATTTTAAAAATAATTGGTGAGGATTTGTAGAAGTTATCCAAACGTAAAGTCATTTCGATAATTCACAGAGTAAAGCCGGAAGTGTATATAGTCGAAAAGTCAGATCTGAACTGTAAACTGGATGATTAAGATGAATAAGCTGAAAAAAAATTCTGAACTGTAGACTAGATTTCTGATTCTTTATTCAACAAGGAAAACGTCGTTCATTGGATGAGAATCTCTTTATCTACATTTCAGTGTGATATTTATAGGATCTCTCAGATCCCACAATTCAAGAGCAAACTCTCCAAAAATATCACTGCTTAATGAACTTAAAATGAAAAAAAAGGAGTTCAAAAAATTATCAAATAGCAGAGATCACCATGGCAACGCGTGCACTGACGGCGCGTGAGCATTATTTACTCTTGAACAATTAGTTCAAATAAAAACAGATGAAAAAAATAAAAGTATTAAACAAATTAGATTAAATAAAAGTGCATGGAAAAAACATTTCAGGAAAAATTATCATATTGTATGAATGTTTTTCTTTATTTTGCATATGTTTATAACTTTCGAAATATGCTGAAGATATACAAGTTTTGAATTATTTCATTTTTTTTCCTAAATTCTAAAAACACTCACATTGTAACATTTAATTTAGAAAAATCTGGAGGAAATTTTAATAAATCACAGAAAGTCGCTAACAAGATTTTTTACTCTTATCAACGCCTTTAAATGATTCCATCTTTCAATCTTAATTCCATGTAACTAAATTCCAACACTAATTAAAATATCAAATTCAAATACTTTATTACTCCATTCAGTTGAAAACATATTTTTTGAATATAGTAATATATAAAGATAGCACAGCAAAACAGTTTCCTGAGTCGAAATCATCTAGACTGTATGGAAATCCTTATCAAATTACGGTATATAGTAACCGACGGTATATAGTATGCATCATCCGTAAAATCCATTTTACTGTAAAGTTAATTTTTCATACAAAATATTATACTGCAATTTTTACGGTAATAATTATTTAATTAGAGTGATTCAGTAGTTTTACGTAATTATTATTATAAAAATTACGATGTATCAATTTTTTTTTGTTTTGTAATATATTCCGGCAAAAATTTAAAACAATGCACGAGTTCCAGCAAAAATGGATTACGAAGTACAAGGTTCCAGTAAAAATGGTTTATATGGTATAAAAAAAACGGAAACCGAAGAGTCGATAATTTTTACCGTAATTTAACCAGGGTATTTTTTACATTGTTGATGATTTACCAGCATGAAGTGAAAACAATATTTTCACGTTGTTAATTATTTCAAACATTTTCAAAATGATGTGCATTATACATTTTTAAATGAATTCTATTTGTGGATTAAAGAACATAANTTTACCGTAATTTGACCAGGGTATTTTTTACATTGTTGATGATTTACCAGCATGAAGTGAAAACAATATTTTCACGTTGTTGTTAATTATTTCAAACATTTTCAAAATGATGTGCGTTATACATTTTTAAATGAATTCTATTTGTGGATTAAAGAACATAAAGTAAATCTTTGCTCATTTCGTTTACTTCAGAATTTTAAAAAATGTTTATCCATTTTTTTAAATAATATAAGTTTCCCTCTTCTAACAATTACTATAATTTTTACCAACGGTGGGTTTTTTATTGCAACTAAATAATTTAGTTGTTTTATTGTTTTTTAAAAAAATCTTACCTCCTTTGAGTCAAGGTTAATTTCTCCAGTATCTTGATTTACAATACGAGGACTCATTTCTCGCATAGCTGCATAAAATGGTAGGCAAGCTTAAGAAAAAGTTAAGATTATCTAATTAATTTGAACAAGACAAATTAATTCATCAGAAAATAGTAAGTTAGCAACATACTAGTATTGAAAGTAATGATTTACTTTCGTTAATGTATAAGTTTTAATATTATGAATTTTATTGTTCTGAAACACGTATCTATTTGTTTTCTACGTGCAATACTTAGTGTATTAAAGAAACTTATTTATTATATTAACATTAGCATTAGCATGCGTCTACGAACAATAGCAATCATTAGGAAAATAATGCTTCGAAATCAGCTCTTCAACTGGATATGAAACCTATCTTATTAATATTTAATACTATGTGTATGCTTTTGTTTGGTTGATGAACCAATTTATTTCCAATTTAGTATCATTCATGAAGCACGAACTTTTTTTTACGTAAATTGTATGAAACTAAAATTTTCTATAGCGCTATTTGAAAACGTACTGTCTCTTTTTCTTTTTTTCTTTTTTAAATTCATGTTGCTAATGTGTTATGCCATTTTCATCATATTAAAGAATGAATCTACTTCACATTAAGTGGTACTAAGTCACCAAAAATGCATTGTACTGCTTCGTTCGTAACCATGTCAATCAATAATCCCACAGTTTGTGAAGTACGTTCAGTCATTCGGTTCTTAAATGCAAAAAAATTCGTTCTGCTGAAATTCAGCCGTAGCTTGTTGAAGTTTATGGCAAAGGTGTAATGAATGATGGAAATATGCGTAAATGGTGAATATTATTTTAGTGAAAGAAGAACAAAATATTCACGATAAAGAAAGATCTAGATGGCCAACTGTCATGAATGGGAAATACTATATCATCCACCATACAGCCCTGACTTAGATCCATCAGATTTGCATCGGTTTCCAAAACTTGAAAATGTTCTTGTTAGGAAACGCTTAGAAAATGAGATGTTAAAAGAAAGTATTACTAACTGCTTTAACGGTGAGGCGGCAGATTTCTTTGATGAGGGGATCCAAATGCCTCGACTTAAATGTTAATGCTGACTATGATGAAAAGTGAATAAATGTTCATATATCAGTTTGTGATACAATTAATGTTCATAAATAAAGTTTGTCTAGATTTATTACAAAACGGTTTTTACTTTAAAAATTACCTTGGTAAAAATTAAAAAGTCAACATATTACATGGTCTTAATGACAGGCAACTATTCTCAGTACTTACCTACATTGACTGAAGAAGACAAAGCATATTTAAAAAAACACAAAACTGCCAACGATTTAATGATAAATAGAGTAAAAGTGAAAAACAAAACCAGAAAAACCGTGGTAGCCGAGTGACGAAATGAGGAGAAGCATTTCTAAACGCAATTGAGAAAGCAGAAACTCATGTCGCTAGAGAGGGAATCAGCATTTCAGAACATCATAATTAGCTTATATCACAGGGATGGGAAAATGCTAGATGAATGGAATCATAATGAGCTTATATGAAGGAAGGGGGAGGCGTTTTTGAAATTTAAATTTAAGCACAAGGTTCCAACAATGTGCAATACTGTGCTTTTTTTTCCAAATGTTAAACCACGTTAGGTTTACTCGTATGTAAATAACGCGCTATGTATGGTTAAAAAATAAACATAAAACAAAACGGAAAAAAACACAAAAAATGACTAAACGTGTGTAATTTTCAACTTTTTTTTTTACTTGTTTATTTATTATCCGGGCAACTCATTTATTTGTATTCCTTGCTTAAAATATCTTTTTAATGGTTTTGTTCTACGAATATGCCATGTAATCACAGTAAATATTATTTCAGCATCAATTATCTCAATAATTCTACTTCTTTCAAATTTTTTTAATGGAGCGTATGCCTCTTTTGGTTTGAATTTCGAGTACCCAAAAGAAAAATTATGTGTACATTTAGTTACTAATCAAATGATTTGTCTTCAACAAATATTTTAGTAAAATCATTTCTGAGATGAATGAATTTTGAAGTTTCGTTTTGTAATTTACCATAGTTTTAAGTATGATTGCTATTTTAAAGGGGTGTATTTTACTTTAAGTCTTAACATTTTATGAATACAACATTTTGTGACTCATTTCAATCAAAAAATGTTCAGGCAAGAATTATTTATATATGTCTTTCGTCAAAACGCAATTTTTATTGTAAAAATGTTTCTTAATTTTATTTCAGTCAGCGAAATATTACAGTTGTTTTTAAAATTATTAATTATTCAAAACTATCGTTTTACGACCATGATATATCTGCTTAATACAAGTTGTATTTAAGTAATTATATCAAAGAGTTTTGTATTTAGGATATAATATCAAATATTCAGCAATATATATTAATCTTAACACATGCTTGTTTTTACATTCGATAAAAATTCATTGTATATTATGTTAAAGTTTTTGCCATGTGTCATGCTTAAAATAAGAGATGAATTTTAAAGAAAATTAAGAAATGTAGAGTGATAGAAACATGAAATAGGTTACACCCTGCTTAAGAAACAAGCTTAAATTTATTCTCTAAACTTTGAAAATTAGTTACAAAGTTCTTCAACGGAAGGCGTAGTTAGAAACTATGAAACAATGTTTTTTTGTCACATTTCGGTTCAATCTAGCTTAAATATTTGCAAGCTGTCTGATGATTTCATCCTTACGCTGCTCCATATTTTTGCAGCAAATTATAGTCATTTTGAAAACCTTTTTCAATAGTTTTGTGTTAGCAGCGCCATCTGTTACCGAAATTTGTGACTAACTTTAAGAAATGGTAAGAGAAAAAATCTACTTTCGCAAACAGAACACATTCGTTATTATCTACTTGCGTTCTACATTATAAATTTCATAATATTGGTCATTTTTAATAAATTTAAAATATAGTTCGGATGAAATTGCTGAAAAATAATCAATATTATTTAAGAAAGGATACATGTCCAGCATGTTATAACGACGCACATGGCGAGCGTCGCATGAAAGAATACATTCTTTGTGGTCTTCTTCCGTTGCACATATGTTAGGTAGGCTTGTATCAACACATAAAATGTGTAGGATGTGACCAGGATAGCCGTGCAGGAGAAATGAGGGATAAAAACAGACCCCATCTAAATGTAAATTAATATTGCATTAAATAAAAATCGTTTCATTTAAGCCTAAACCAGTTTAACCTTTGCCAGAATGACCTTTTCCAAATCCATAAAACAAAATAACCTGTGCATATTGAAAAACTTTCGACAAAACTGATACGTTTTGCGATAATAAAATGCAATTTTCATTGTTTTAGAAGCTACTTACTCGAGAAAAAAAATTCTAGTAAAATTACCATACTGCACGGTAATGAAATTTTTGGTAAAATAAACCATTATTCTAGTGATAAAAATTTAAATATACGGTATTTAAACCATCTATTTGGAAATTTTTACGTTCATATTGTAACTGTTTCTAATAAAATTCTAGCTTTCAAAATTATATTTCTTATTAATTCTTAATTATTATTCTTATTAATTCTTAATTATTCTTAGTACCAATTAAATATTTTTATTCTATATTCCTAAGATATCATGATAAAATTACGAAAATTTTACTACTTTATTTACTTTTTATCACGCATTATAAAACCATATTCCATTGTTAATTTTCCCGAAATCATTACCTAAGTTCTTTCTTTAAAATTACTAAAGTGTTCCCATACAGACAGAAATACGGAAAATTTTTATGATCTTTTTTTCTGTTGAAAATAAACTAATCATCACAAGGCTATTTAAGTTATGAATCTGGGAATCTGGGGCACTTGATCTAATAAAACTCGTAAATCTAATTATAATTGTGAGCAAATATTAACAATAATAATTCTTGACAATTTTTTATTATTTTGTACTTTTAAATTTAAAGATAGTCGAGAAACTTTCTAATAATAAGCTATCTTAATATTTCAACATCTAATATTCGTTAAATCTAGAAAGTGTTTAAGGCTAAAATATTAAAGTTTGAAATTAATTAAGACATTTCTGATTTAAAGAAAAATTTTCTTAATTGAAACCTTTGAAACTAAACTATTAAGTTTACTGAAAATTCAGAAACTATCATTAAAGAATTGTTATTAATATAAAGAAGATGAAAAATAAATTATTCCTTTATATTTGAATTTATTTTTAATGATTAAGGCAATAAATGATTTTTCTTACTGTTAGTAGTTTTTTGGTATGGTAATTTGACAGTTTTGGCTGAATATGGTAAAATTGCAAATAAAAAATAATCATTTAAGCATTTTTTTTCGAGAAATTTCTAACAGTGTATAGTATTAAATGAAAAATTTTCAACAATATTAATATGATGATTTCACAAAAGAGTAACTTACCCAATCGTCAATGTGGTGTGTTATGTAACCAATAGGGTAATGACTAGAAAATAACATTGCTAAATTCGCTAGGCATCCTATGAAAACAGCAATAGTATTTAAAACTTGAATCTTCTTTGGTTCCAGGCGCCTTCTTTTTTGGTGTATAGCCACATAACGAAGTAGGAAAGTGGGGACAGCTAAAGAAATAAAAATCTTATGAATGAAATTAAAAGAAAGTCATTAAATTTTAGAGCGCTGTTGAACCAATATATAGTTCAATTTTTGCTGCTAACTTTAATATGGTACTAAATTAAAGCATATCGAACTTATAAAACTTTAGCGATATTATGGTTCAACTTGATTTTGGCTCAGGTTATAGAGCACTTGTCTCCCAAAGAGGTGACCCAGGTTATAATCACAGCAGTGGCTAGTTGATACGAATTCTTTACCTGGCTCACACCAACTACAGTACTGACGTAAACTATCCTCAGTATCATAAATTAGCCGTATGGCTAGCCATTAGATGTTTCCGTGGTTTTCCTCTCCATTAAAGCAAACGCGGGTTAGTTCCATCAAAAAGCTCTAACTTCATGAAGATTCTAATTTGTCTCAATGCTGTTCTGGGAGTTCCCTTATTTTTTGGGTTGATTTCGAAATTACAAGGCTACGGATTTGAGCATTGATAGTTTTAAACTCAGAATTGGGTTGACTGTTCAACGCAGGTTATAAAATAAACTATAAGTCCTCGTTAAGCCTACGGCAAATGTTTCTCTGTAGCATGATTTAACATAGCGATATTAAGGTTTAATGTTAAGCCAGTTTTTCCGAGAACGTATGAAATGTGGCTGTAAACTAGAGAAGTTTCTCACACTCCTCTGCAAACAATTATTTTATTCAAAACTATCTGATATTTATGGTTAAAAAAAATGGTTTCATTTTAAGATTTCAAATAATTTATCGTATCAATCTTGTAAGATACATCAGTTTTTTTTTCTACTTTAGGCTTAAAAGCTAATTTAATACCTTTAAGGTATCCGACTAGTTTTGAAACCTTTTAATTTTATACATTGACATCAAATTTTTAAGCACTAGTTTATTTGTTTTATTATGTTTAAAAACCTATAAAACTGGCAAAAAATATTATTATTGCTATTTTTTAATAAATGCTCATTCTTACGTAAAAATAAGGCTTTGTTTGCATATACGCTAAACACTGTAAAAGGAAGAATCTTCTGAGGATTTTGTTTAGAAGGCTATCAACTATGTTTTTAACTATTATCTTAAAAACAAGTGCATATACTACTGATTTAAGGATCAATGTACTTAAAAAAGCAAATTTTTAAAAGTTTTTGCCCTTCTCTTCGCGGAAAAGCATACATAAAATATGAAATTCTACATTTTTCTCTTAATATTTTGTTCAAAACATGTGTGCTATAATAATAAACACTCACGAAAAATAGTAGAAAATTATTTTAAAAACAACATGTTTTATCATGTTTAAGGTGGTGTAAAATCTGAAAAAGACAGATTTCAAGATAAGAGTGCATTTAAAAAGTTAAACTCATTAGTCCATCCACTGTTATCACCTTTTACAAAACTGCCATAACTTTTTAAAAAATTGGAGTACAAGCAAAATTTAATATTCTTTAAAAAGATAAGAGTGCAGGAATTCTAAATTTATAATAAACTCAATTCCAAACTTTTTGCCCAAAATCATATTTTTGCACTTGTCAGAACCTTAACAAGCTATAAAATGCCACCAAGAATATTTTAGAACATATGTAAATGTTAAAAAATAATAATAACTTTCAGTACTGGCACATTACTTACCAAAAAATGTTCCTATTGCTGCGAAAATGCTCATAAGTGCCGACTGTGGTGGAAATGCAGAAGTGTGACTGTATAAGAAAATTGAATTGGAACAAAATAATAATTACAGATAAAATAAGATAATTAAAATAGAAATAATTAGTATGTATATCTCTCTTATCATAACCATCATAAACTCGGGTATTTCTCTTTTTATTCGCAGCAACATTACAGTAATTATTTATTTCGTTAACTTGTCTTAAGTAATAATGTTAATAGAGTAGAATTATTTAGAATAACTTTTAGAATAACGCTTAGAATTTATTTAGAATAACTTTTTTTTTTATTTTCATAAAAATAAAAACTCAATTACGAATTAGATTTATTTTTGATCCTTTCTGAAATGGCTGTAGATAATTTAAACATAAACAGAGCTAAGGTTTCGCATACTATTAAGTATATAAAAGTTTGCCAGATTACAAAATATGAAAATAGAAGAGTAAATAGATGTTCTTTGACGCGTTATTACTGAAGCACAAAAGTGCGTTTCACTTGTTAGTTACCTTGGATTGATCCAAAACTGGATGTGCACAAGGAAATCATATTATCCTGGATAATTCAAAGCGCATACGGAGAATTTTGTAGCTCATGATGTTGAATTTGCTCATAATGTTGAATTTAATTATAAAATTTCAATATTGATGACTTAGAGAAGTTAAAGGCAAAAAAATTATTTCATTTTTAAAGAAAAAAAATCTTTTTTAGATAGTATTTAGAAGATTTTTAGCCACGGATTTGCCAAGATATTTATTTATTATCTTTGAACAAAAATAATATATGGATTAAAAAAATAAAGGAACGAAAAAAATTTAAAAATATTTTTATCAGATGAAATCATTAAGTTTTTACTTATAGAAGGCATATCACCTGATATATGGTAGGAACATTTCAACTTTTCCCGATATAACTGTTATGAGATATGGTGCTCCGACTCCAAGCAAAATGCAGAGTGCCATTAACAGTGGCAATACCCTCGCTTTTTCTAACACTATAGCAGTCATTTTCTGAAACAATAAGCATTATTAAGTATATCCAGCATTAATAAGAGATAAAAATCTCATCATATTTCATATTTTTTTCGAGGAAAAATATGGCACTAGTAAAATACTAATAGATAATTCGACTTTTTATTTATATATATTTGTTACCGCCACTTTATTGCTTATTTCGTTTTCAGGTAAGGTATTTAACATGAGAATTATAGTATAGTTTGCAAGTCATTGTATAGACAAAGAAAAAAAACGCATGTTGAAACTACCAGGAAAAGGTAAAATTTACCGCGTCTCTGGTTGTATGGGAATACGCCAAAAGGTAAGGTAATTTTTACCTAAGCGCTTCATTTGTGATTTTTTATTAAATTAACTATAATGTAAGCCGTTTAGCAGTAAATCTAGCCAGATTTGGCAATTTTGTCAAAATAGTTAAATTTAGTTAAAATAGTTAATAATTAAAAAACAACAACAATTTATTTGGTTAAATTTCCTTTCCTTACTAACAGTGGATACGGGAATTGAAGCTATTTTGAGGGATTATGAAAATTTCGGAATTCTGGCTGATAGCCAAAGTTCAATGGAACATCTTAATAAACGGATCTATATTGGTGATAAGACAAGTATATCTATCCTTCACAGGTTGAAGTGCATCTCACTTTCGCATGATATTCATTTAAAGTCAATGCCATCCCATGTGGATATTTATTTGGTAAGGAGAAGGCAGACTGTCTATCAAAGGACTGTTGCAGACTTCCGCATCTGATGAACTTACCTACCTAGAACTTTTTTCTCAGATGAAAAACTTAAATAGGAGGATTTAGCCGATGCCTCCCACTCATGATTGGTATAGGGCTAGCCGGAACAGTCGTTGATTCTTCCATGCGACAGAAAAACCAATGCTTGCCTTTCACGCCTTTCCAGTGGACATCTAAAATGTCTTACTTTTTCTCAGGGTATAAAATCCTACCGTCTTTTCCCAAAATGCCACCAATATCAGGCTTCAACTGAACATATTTTAAGCTGTTTGGGACTTCTTCGGGAAGAAATTTACACCTCTCCTCCCCTTGTTTCCGACATTTTACTCATTACATTAAACCCGTCAACGGATTTATGGAACTGGTCTGACACCGTCTGACCTTTGGAGATAAGTAACAGCAACAACAAATTTCCTTTCCAGTTTCATATTTTTAATAAATGTATTACAATAGAGAACTATGTTTTTGAAAACCAGAAAACTAGAATGTCCGGTATACCGTTACCAGACGAACGGAAAATTACCAATGGTTTACACACCATATATATTGATTTTATTACCAAAATTAGGTTGTTGTTTTTATAAATTATGTCATTACCATACAAGCACGGTTACTTTACCAGTATATATTTCTCCTTGCGGAATGGAATACCTAAGTTAATGCTTCATACGATGATTAGACTAATGTAATAAATCTCATGTACCATACTTTGCCTGAAGAACATTTTATTTTTATTTCATAACCGTCGTTGAAGAGCCGACCCAATTTTGGGCTTACGACTACTAATGAACTCCGTAGCCTTTTTATTTCGAACCCAATCCAGAAGACAAGCGAACTCCTGGATCAAGTATTGGGACCTTCGTAAAGGACTTTTTGATGGAACTCACACGTATTGAAGTTGCATGGAGTGAAAAACCACGAAAACCTCCATGATTAACCCGACAAAGAGGGGAGTCTAACCCATGATCCGTCTACCACTGAAGATATTTTTCGTCAGCACTGTGGTCGGTGCATGCCGGGTGTGGAATTCGAATCTACCAGCCCTCTCTAGGATTCGAACCCGGTTCATCTCATCAGAAGGCGAATGCTCTATCCCCTGAGCCACCACGACTCCCTAAAGAGCATTCGTCTTTCTATAGAATATCTAGGTAATGTGCGAAAGATATATATTATGCGTGCGTATAATTATATATTATATTTGTGCGTTTTACCCTTTGTCAATTGGTGATTAGTAATTTTGCCGACCGCCTAAGCACTATCTGAAAGATTAATCGTTTAAAATTTTGCCACTAAATTTCAGGCATTCCTTGCAATGAATAGAAATACTATGGAATACCAGACATCCTACACTGGCAACAACATACGTTCTTAAAGAATGAAATTTTGCGTAAAATGACAAAATTTAGGCACTATATTAAGTAACTGAGCATTTTCCTTACGGTTTTTGAATAATTGTGTTTGTGGAACAATTAAGAAGGACCCGTTTGAGTCCGATTGCTATTTGTTAATCAGAAATTGTCTAATAATAGCTTCGTATTCCTAATAACTCTAATTTTTATTTGTGAACAGTGCTTGCGCATCATAATAGCATCTGCAACATATTATAGGCGATTTATAATTTGTAATAAAATGCAAAAGTACTTTTGCAATTATATTTTACAAATTTCTGGAATCTAATTCGTTTTTATTTACAAAACGGATTTTCAATCAAGTATTTTTACAACAAATAATTATTCATTCTACACATTATTTGAAATATCAATTAGGATTAAATCAATGAGAAATATATCATTCAATCAATTAAATTTTATATATTAATTATTGAATTATTTGGTGAAAGTGCTTATCTCACCGGTGACTCCGTTATTTTTTCTGACACTCTAATTGCAAGCCAAATTTCACTTTGGTATATTTTAATTATAAAAAAAACTCTCTTATTGTTATTCAAAAAAGCTGTTGGAATATCAGAATTATATTTCTACCGAAATATAAAATCCAAAAAAAAAATAGTTTGATTTCTTTATTCATATTCAAAAATTTATTAAGAACTGAATTTGTTGATTGGAGAAATTTTTAAACGAATAATTGTTTCTTTTAAATCTAAATAACTACTAGTAAGTGCAAATTTCAAAAAAAAATTTGTTGGGAATTCAGCAGTGTTTGGAAGATTTTACTTTTAACGCAGAAACGCCGCTGGTCTTTCATGTCCTATTTCATCACCATAAATTATTAAAATGCTAAATATAATATTAATTATTTATTCTGACCTAAATTATTACAAAATTATGAAAAAAGTATGAAAAAATATTTTTAGTGGAATATCAGCGTCGCAATTTATTTCCTTTAAAATAAAATAACCTCGAAATAATTTAATTTTTTTATGATTGAAATGTATTTATTTATTAAAAAAAACCTCAAAACTCTTAATGACACATGAAAGATTTATTTAAATTCTTTAAGGAAAAGCGAAAGTATATTTCTGTTTATGTCCTTGTGAAACTAGACACATTTGAAGAACGCACTTGAACATTTCCTCAATATTAATTTTATATTTTTCCCCGTGAATATATTATAAAAACGTATTAGTTAATTGTCTAACCTTCAACATGTTTTACTTTACTGTAACCCATAACACGACGAACACACAATTGCGGATTTAAGGCACGAATATCAACCTAATAACTTAACTAGATAAATACCCGTTCTTTTTTTACGGAGCGAAAGAAAAGTAAACAATCACAAAATTGATATTTATCAAGATTACGAAATCGTGAAGAAAATAATTCTTTTTTTCTTCTTCTAATTATTGTTATTTTTCATGCATGGCTTTATATTTTCAACTTAAATAAAACACGTGTTTTCTAAAAGTTTATTCCATCAAGGATTTTCTATACTAGGCAACATATGGATAGTTAGATTTTTTTTATTCCAAAATTATGGTAAAATAATCGGCAGCAGTCTTTCCACCTGAATAACCGTAAAGTTTGCAGAAAAGAGCATGTTTTAAATTTACAGTTTTGAAACCGTTTACAATTAGTATGGCTATAAAACCATTAATACAAAACTATACGTTTTTTTACCATTTACAACTAGCATAGTTTTAAAACAGTAAGGAAAAAATATAACTGGACATGGGAGATAGGCTTTTCATTAGGTAATGGGAATTGGAGTGCGCAAGAAACAAATTGAGATGTGCAGGATACTGTAAATTCTTCATGTGTTGAAGGTAATTGAGGCAATATTTTGGAAATATTGTGTTGAATATTAAATTAAAAATTCAATGTTTCTTTGAAATTTTTTTATCTGAAAATCTTATCTAAGCTTCTTGCCGGTACAGATTAGAAAAGAGAAATTGATTTATCCGAACCTGAAATTTTATTTTATTTTAACTATAATTATTTGTTTTTCTCCTCCGATCTTCTGAAGTGTTTCAACTCCACAAACTATCAATACAGGAATTAAAAAAATTATTCCAATATAGTTTATAAATATTTTGGAGCCTCGAAAATTTAATTAACTGAAATAAATTATTTTAAATTATATCGTACATTTAAAGCGAAAACCAATTCATAAAACAAATTTAATTTTGTACTTCCCCTAATCCTAAATAAGAGCTATCGCTTTTCAAGTATTTCATGTAAGGCTTTCTCCTTTTTTGTAAATTGTAACGGTAACATTTTTTGTGAAAGTGTTCTCGCACCTGCTTAAATGTTTAAAATGTACTATAAGAAACAAATGTAAAATTCTATAAAATGAAAGATCAACCACATTAAAATATGTTGTAAGACTCTAAATCTATGGTAGTCAATCTGGTTACTAACACCCTCTTTAAGGATGTTTCAACCTTCTTAGTGGGCGGAAGAATATCAAAGAACAAAGTTAAGTTTATATTTTATGTAAATTATTTTATAGTAAGTTATATTTTATATAAAGTGAACATGATGTCCAGCATTTTTTTTCCGCAGAATTAGCCACAAGGGTATCATAACTCACAAGGGTAACATAAAAATTTAACTAACTAAATGCAATTTCATTATGTTTCATACATAAATATTTGATTCATATACATTCATTTCAAGTACAAATAAGAGGAAATAAATATTAAATACGTTAAATTATGTAATAAAGTAGTAATCGGCCAAATGTCGCTGAAGTTCAGCATAAAAAATTTGGTAAGTACACTCGTATCACTATCCTTAAGCAACTATTACTGTCTTCGAATTAGGTGGTTTGAAATTTTTGTAGGTAATTCGCTGTATATAAATGAGGAAAGAAAAAAATATTAAAATAAATAGAAATCAAAAACTATAAACTCTAAAAGGTAGGTGAAGTTTAAATTCAATCACTATTAGGGGAAAACATTCAGATAAATCACAAAAATAAAAAACAAATAGATTCCTTGAAAGTGTTCTTATACATTTGCAGACTTATTTAGAGCTTTCAGTTTGCCTATACTTTTACATTTTGTTTAAATCTGCGAAATTCAGGGCAAACAGTTATTAGAATAATTAAAATTATCTTTTTATATCATTGTATACAATTCCGTATTTTTTAATCTTGCACTTAATGGATTAAGTAATATAATTTATAAAATATTTCCAAATATAAAATCATGAAAGAGAAGCATATTTCAATAATATAATCGATAATTTTGGAAAATATTTATGGAAAGTTTAAGAAAATTAGCTATTAGGTTTTTTCATCATTACTTGAAAACAGTATAAATCAGTCTGTGTGTAGAAAAGAGCAAGAAACTGGGTTTAAAAAATGATAGAGAAACAGAAACCAAAACAAACACATGATTCTGAATTATACATGAATTTTAAATAAATCATCTGTCGTATAAAAAAAATTAATGTAAATTACAATTTTTTTTTAATTTATTATTTTTTTAATACTTGAAATTTTCCTTTATTCATTTCTTTTTACATTTTGTTTGAATCCGTAAAATAGATAGCGATAATATTTATGAAATAGTTTAAAAAAATTAAAACACTCTACTGAAATTTAAATTTTGCATTCAATTACTTAAATTAGTAAAAATATTTAGATAAAAATTACAGTAATTGGAATTTTAAACAAAACATAATTTATTTATATAAAATACACTATTTCGGAAAATATTTATTGAAAAACAATTGGAATATGTATTATTATTTGTAAACAGTTAAGCAGTCTCTGCACATAGTTGAGATATAACAACAAGAAAAACTAAAAAATGCAAAGTTTAAATTTACACAAACAATCATTAGAAGAAAATAAGCAGCAATTATAATTTGTGGATTAATTTTTAGTGTGAATAATGTAAGTTTTTCTTATTGTTTCAATACATTTATTTTTGAATGGAGAATTACAGGAAAGATACAAATTACGAGTTCTATTTTGAAAATATTCAATGAATGTAAGACGCTTAATGACATTGTTTCGACATCATAATTGCGCTTGGACGGCAAATTAGCATGTTTTGAAATAGTAAGCAGATTTATAACATTAATACTCACAAAATGTAAAATTGCCAAGAATACTAGCATTAAGGATGCTGTTTTCCTAACTAAATTAAAATCAATTTGCTTAAATTTTCCTTTTTTTTCTTCAAAAAACAGGAATTTAATTTTTATACCACACCGACTATAAATAAACAACAAAAAACCACTTTTTGTTAAATATATGAACTTTAAACGTTTCAAATTTTTTTAATAATTTGTTTTCCGAAAATAAAAAGGGCATTTTCACATTTTTTTAAACTTATTTTGATGGCTGTGAAATAGTTCTTAAGTAGTGTGCTTCTTTTTTATACAGAAAATTTCACGAACTTTTCTTCTTTCACTTACTGTAATTTTTTTTAAACTCCGACAATAGCTTAAAAAGCTACGAAGATTTGAAATTTGGATCAGTTCTGTTGAAAATTATTTAATAACATGTGTTTTATAAATTATGTAAAGAAAGTTTTATTAAAACATTCTAATAACAACGGTTGTTGGATAACCATATGATATTCAATTAAAGTAGTATTTTGCTCTTTTATTTGTTATTAGTTTAAATAAAATTTTTATTATACAACATAAAAGGTAAAAGTATTATGTTGAAAACATTATATTGAAAATACGTTGATGGATTCCAACGGCTTAGAAAAACTAGAAAACAGTTATATGAGGGAGTTATAAGCTATGTAACTAACTATGTCTCAATATTCACGAATGTCAGAACTTCTGTGGGGGGGGAAATTTTAAAAAAGGAAACCATAACTTTACGAATTTTTCTCTGCGTCGAAACATAGTAAGTGAATAATACTTCTGATTGAATTTTTCAAAAAAAAAAATTATAATAATAATAATTGCATTAAGAAAATAAAGTATTAATTTGAGCCGCGATGGCTCAGGGGTAAAGCGTTTGCTTTCCAATGAGGTGAACCAGATTCGAATCCCAGCGATGGCTGGTTGATACAAATCCGCATCCGGCTTGCACCGACCACAGGGCGGACGTGAAATATCCTCTGTGGTAGACGAATCATGGGTTAGAGTCCCTTTGCCGTCAGGCAAACAGTGGGAGGTTCTCGTGGTTATTCTGCCCAAGTAACGCAAATACAGGCTAGTTCCATCAAAAAGTTCTCCACGAAGGCAAATTTCTCCCAATACTTGATCCAGGAGTTCCCTTGTCTTCCGGATTTTGTTCAAAATTACAAGGCTACGGAGTTGAGCATTGGCAGTCGTAAATCCGAAAATTGGGTCCGCTGTTCAACGTCGGTTATAAAAATAAAATATAAAATATTTGTTTACAATATTTTTGTTGAAAAAAAAGATCTGTGTTTTAAAAAATAAAACTCAAAGTGAGTTACATTTCTCAACAATTAATATTATTTAGTCAGTATTACATGATAGTAAAAATATTTTTACTATTATGTACCATTAAAATATTTTCGCTATTTTTACTATTGCTATTTCATAATGGAATAGCATTTAAACCAAACGCAACAAGAAAATATATAAATGAATTTTTATATTGCATTTAGAAAAACGAAAAATATTTTATTTTTTTAAACATTATAGCTTATAATAAAATAGACTCGAACTTAAACCGGTATATTATATTTCTTACTAAACCGAAACAAATATGCACATACAAACTTCACTAGCTTACTAAATTCTAAACCTAAGTTGTTGCTTTTTAATTTAAACATAAGAATATTGGAATAAAGAAAAACACGCTGAATTTTTAATAGAGAATATCTGATTTGTCTTAAATTTATCTCTTCTCTTTCAATATGCTAAAAGAAAGGATCATTAAAAATGAAAAGTAATACAAAATTACACGAAATTAATTACTTTAATGAATAAAGACTCACCTCTTCAGTGTTGATAATTTTTGCGTCAGTAAAATGTTTTAAAACATCCCAACTCTAAAAAAAGTTGTTTCATCTGATCCTTGAACATGGCCATTAACTGACTGTTCGCTGATATCTTTTCGAACGAATAACCGAAGTTGAAGGTCAGATGACCATGAGACCGGTTTCTTGACTTTGTGTTATTATTCATCAAAGGAAAAACGACTCATGAAAAGTACTTGAAAATGTGAGAGTGATTTAATTCGAATAACGTGTGAATAATAAGAAAGAGGGAAAATGGCATCTTTCATCCAGGGTCATTGCATAAGGAGAACAATATGACCAAACAAACAACTTAAAAATATTTTATTGACAATATGAAATGAACAAATACAATTACAACACGCGGTTTTCCTTATAGCCGAATGAAGCGCAATTTGAAACATACTGAGAGAATTTGTTTTAAAACTCAAGCTAAGGGATGTCTTGAAAGTCATTAACTATATTTATTAAATATTGAACAAAATTTTAATTTGTATTTTTTTGTTAAGTTTTTAAGTTGTCTTAAATTAAGTTTTCTAAGTAATGAAAAAATCATTTTTCATTTGGTTTAAAGTTATTTTAGTATAAAAATATACATTAATTTCTTAAATTACTTTTATAATTCACAGTGGAAAAAATTGGTAATATGTGCTTTTTTTAAACGTGATACTAATGTTTTAATGTGTGCTAAATAATTTTTAGTACTAATTAATACATTTATGAAGTTTTAATCATCTAATCAAAAGTTTTTAAAACAAAAAAAAAACATATTAAGACTTTTGCATTTCGAAATATCGTTTATCATTAATAGCAAAGTATCTTCAAATTATTTCAATATCAAATTATTTAATTTTATTTAATTTAGCTCAGTAAAATTTTGCTTTTAAATTTGTTTATGGGGATTTCGATTTTTATACATATATTGATGAAAATGCGTTTATTGTCATTAATAAAAATAAAAAAATAGAATATTAATCAAGAAATAAAAAACATTTGGATTTGTTTTTCATAGCCACAATGTTTTATTTAGAATAATAAACTTAGTATGAAATATCTCCAGCATCTACATCTATGGACCTAATTTTAAAATATTTACGTTTCTTTATCCGAAAGGTTCTTTCTAACTTTTTGCATTCAAACAAAGAAAATGAATAATAAAAAATTATAATTCACGGAAAATTGACAATTCATTCCTTCTCTGGAAACAAAGAGTTAAAATTGATGTCTGCAAACAGCGGTGTCAGTTCTATGATTCAATTTTTTCTGAGTTTCTAAGGCAATATATTTGCGACTATATTTCTTATTTTAAATATTTCTCAGGGAGTTCATTTCAGTTATAAAGACAAAAAACAGCTTTTCGTACTAAGACAAATGACATCAATTTTCCAAATGAGTGAAGATTAAGTAATAAGTAATTTTATTCAAAATCAAATGTGAAGCAAATCACAAGGAAAATGTTCCATGACTACTGATATTTTCCTTTAAAGGCAGCTAATTATTTCTCGCCTTTAAACACTACATAGGTATGAAAATCAAGGTGAAACCAAATGTCACAAGACTTTGTATTGAATATGGGAATTTGTTAACAAACTTTCCTTGGTTACTTTCAATTGGACGATATACACGAAAGTGACGTCGGTCAACTTTATTTATTTATATCAGGAAAATATAAAATTGCTCTGTAAAATTGTTTTAATTTCTTTTTATTGCACGGAAAAAAACTCATATAAAATTACCATACTGGTAGAAATATTCCTGGTTAAAAAAAACTAAAATTAAATTTTAAAAAAACGTAATTTTGGTTATAAAAATAAATATTCAGTATTAAATCATTCCATTCTGCATTTTTTTCCTTATCATATAATAACGGTATACCAGAAATTCTGGTTTTAAAATATTATAGTTCTTATTACCTCATTTTAGAAAAAATTGCAAAACTGGAAAAGTAAACTTAACCCAATAAATGGATTTATGGCAAACTTTAAGTTGACATGAAAAAATTACCAAATTTTGAGACATTTACCAAATTTTATCACTTTCTATAACACTATATTTTATTGTTAATTCTATAGATCAAGAAACACGATAAAATTTACCATATTCAGATAGTTTTGACTATATTTTTTTCTCAGTATATTTATGAAATACATACTAGTGTTTAATATTGTTACTTAAGCATTTTTCATATTTAATTTGTATTTCCCTTTACATTTCTAGAAGATTAAAAAATTCCGGAAATAATATGGTAAAGTTTTATACCGTGATTTTAAAGAAGTGTTTCCTGAAGTACAGTAATTCAGTAAATATTACTGCAGAAATTACGGTAAATCAAATATTTTCGTTCTGTAAAATTTTACTGTAAAATGTACGGCACAATGCATAACTGCACTTCTTCAGAAAATTTTTCACCGTGTAGTAATATGTATATTTTCGTTACTTTGACCAGTTTTTTTTTTTCTTAAAGAAAATGTTTTTTAGATGCGTGGTTTAACGAATATCAGTATCCGTTGAAAATCAGATCAGGTTCAACAAAGCTGCTGAAAGTTAACTTTGAAGCGCTAAAATTTTGAAAAATTCGAAACTTTAATCAGGAAGAAATATTGTTTTCTAATTTTAGTTACGAATTAATTCTTTTCTTTTAAAAAAACTTATGCCATTACTTTCAAGAATATTTTTTTCTGGCTTGTTTATTTATCTATTATCTATTGTTACGCAGACGTATGCAGGCTTGTATACATATAATAATAAAAAAAAATGTATAAATAGGATGATGTAAACTTTGAAATTTAGGAAAGTTAATGCAAAAAATGTCATCAATATATCTGCAAAATAAAAAATTTATGATTGATCTCATTACATAGCCGTTTTTCATAGTAAATTAAAAATAGGTTAGCTATAGAACTAAATTTGGATCCCATTGAAATGCCATATAATTTGTAGGAATAAAAAACAGTCATTATTAATGTAGTTGTTACATAAACGAAATTTTAATAGGGCAAGAAACTTAGTAATACAACATTTAATTTGTTCAGAGGCAAATTGAACTAAACTAGAAATTGCTGAAAATAAAATTTCGAGAGGCAAGGTAGTAAAGAGATTAGAAAAATCAAAGGTTCTTGTAGAAACGATATCATTAAAAATTTTGAAGTTTTTCAATCATCTCACCACGATTTTGTACTACCGAAAACCATTGATGGTTTCTTAATTTCAGAACATTAAATAGTTCTTTTAACTGCAATTTTGCGCCGGAATAGCCTGGTTGTAGGGCACTGAACTCCAGCTGACCGAAGGGTTCGAATCCAACGGGCCGAATGTAGTAAAAAGTGCTTAGTGCGCGATAAACCTCTCAGGTCACGAAGTCCTCCTTTTTCCCATAACAAACCATACCTCTGGCGGTACGAAATTAGAGATTGACCGTTTTCTGGTTCTGGTCACAATTAGGATCTGCGGATGACTGAATGAATGTATGAATGGGTCCGCCCTATAAGCGGATGATACGTATGGATGTGGCAGAAGTCGAATTCTGGGCCATAGATGGTTGAACTGGAAAGGAAGAACAATCACATCCCAGTGTCTTTATATCCTACGACAACAACAACTATTGCAATTCCAGTTGGATTGCAAGCTCATTACCAATAGTGGAGGTAATATTGAAAATATAACGAAAAGCAACTGGAATTTTGCGAAATTTAAGGACAACGTAAATAAAAGATAAGGAAATGTGCTTTAGTGTTTTTAGTTGCATGTACTTATTACATTGTTACTTACATTGCTAAAAACTTAAAATTGAATTGATATTATCTGTGATGCGCATATAAGTATAAGTGTTACTAGTTTCATTAATTATAACATTGGAATAAAAAATTTTACAACAGATAGAGTAATTTCTAGCTGCTTTATCCACAGTGGTAAATACAAAATAATGGCTGTATTTTTGCAAAGAAGTAGTACCTTTTTTATTGAAAGGTGAAGAAGTGGAAGAATTTTAAAAGGTTTTAAGAGATAATTAAAGCAGTGATAATAGTTAATTTTTATATTCATTAAGAGACTCTTCTGGCAGATGGAATTTAAAAACCAGTTTTAAAATGTACAAAACAATGTCTTTTTGAAAAACATCTAAAATATATTTGCTATTTCAAAATTTTGTTCCCTACAAAAAGTTAGTTTCTCAAATTGGTTTCCTTAATGAAGTTCACATCATCAGTAATTACATGATTGTCAATTTATCATATTCGTAACTGCAAGATGCCTTAATTTGTTCGAATCATTATTCATTATCAGAAACTCTTCTTTCTCTTTTGAGGAAATGAAGAAAACACCATAAAGAGTAAAGGAAAAAAAGTAACGTCAAGAAAAACTCTTATTTCAGTTCAGCATTAGCTGAGTTAAATAGTAGACACTCTCTAGAAGTATACTTTGTTTTTCGCGCATTTCCTGCTGTAATCAGATTTTAAAATTCACAGACAAACTATGAATCTAAATCAAGATACTATTCAAACTAATTCTGCTGCATCTATATTTAAATTTTATCTTCATGCTTGTCAGTAAGTTAAGGGGGAAAAAATTATTCCATCCTAAAAAATTATTCCATTCCAAAAATTATTCCATCTCAATTTGTTCAAATTATTATTCATTATCAGAAACTCCTCTTTTCTTTTTGAGGTTTCCTTATGAAAACGGCATGAAAAGTAGAAAAAAAAACATACAACAAGAGAAAGTCTTATTTCAGTTCAACATTAGCTGAGTAAAATAGTAGACACTTTCTAGAAGTATACTTTCAGTTTTTTGGTATGGGTCGATTGGTGACAATGCAATGCTTAATAGAACCAACATTAACGACAGCACTGTCTCTTACAGGGAGTATTTTCCCGTTTCTGGGGCAAAAAATAGTAAAGGAAGAGGAGTCTTAATGCTTTTTGGTTTTTAAGAGATAAATAATTTCAGACATTCCTGACAGTACTTTTTCCCTTTTTTTAAAAATTTAATTCTTAACTTTCTTCGTTTGTTTTAAAATAGCATAATTTGATTTAATGGCCAGGATTTAGTAGTGAACTACTGTCTTTTCTTATTATTGACCCTTTGACGCAGAATTTTCATTAAACATAATTTTCATACTTTTTTTCTTGGAAAACTTTATATTTCGCATTTTACAAAACAAACGCCCGTGAAGAACACGAAACATGCGCTAACAAACTACGAAACAAATATTCTTAATTTGTATAATTATATACATTTTTGATCGAATTTATATAATTGGAGTAGCATAAGC